GGTTGGGCGAGGAAGAAGTCTAACGAGACTAGAAATCGCTGCGATCGCATGGGCCGTAAACATATTCTCTGGCATAATCAATACTATTGGAACGAAGGCCATAGGACACATGAGCACATTGTTTGTTTGGTGGACGCTCGGGGGCACGGTTTGTTTAGTCACCACACTGCTTGTGAAAGCACCCAGGATGGTAAGGTTCTGTCAAAGCGCAAGGCACGCGGAATCTGATTATGTCTGACAGAACTCTGCTGACTTCGTATTTACTAATGTTCAAAAGTAAGCTTTGCTCATTTCATGAATGAAAGAGGCATTGACTGGTCGACTAGCTTCACCGGCTGGCAATCCCAAGGCTTTGTCGTGCTTCTTGGGTTTCTTCAGGTGAGGATCGGCTCTACACATGTTGTACTGTATGACTCACGGCGTGACATTACCCTAGGCTGTATACACACTCGAGGGGTGCGAGACAGCAGCTCAAGTAGCAGAAGAAGCTGTACGGGCGGAGATCCTGGCTCCGCTCGCTGTAGTAGGCAGCATCGCAGGTTCTTGGCTGATCGGCCTCGCGTACTTGCTTGCACTTCTTTTCGCAGTTCAGGATATCTCTTCCGTTCAGGCCACCACGTTTGCCATCCCAATTGCTCAACTCTACTACGATGCAGTCGGGCCCCGATTGTCACAAATGTGCCTGGTTGTGATAATGGTTTCTCAAGTGATGGCTGCAATCACAACGTTTACTGCAAGTTCGAGACTGTTCTATGCGCTCGCAAGAGATAATGCTTTCCCATTGAAAAAACAATTCATGACCTTGAACCGATTCCAAGCACCATATTGGGGTGTCTGGAGTAGCGTCTTGATAGGATGCATCATATCATGCGCTTACATCGGGTCCGCGATTGCAGTCAGTCGACCCAACTCCTTGCTGTGTTTCTTTGCTCTGATACTATACGCGCTTTCACAGTTCAACGCCATCCTATCCTCGGCAGCCATATCGGTGATGTTGAGCTACATGCAACCCATCATTATTCGAGTGTTCTGGCCTGACTCGTTCGTCATCGACAATGATGTATTTGAGCCATACTTGACTTATTTATTTTCTTGAATTTAGCATCGAAGACTTTGGACCTTTCCGTCTCGGAAAATGGTCGTGGCCAGTGAACTTGGCCAGTCTTCTGGTACGCAACTTCCTCATCTGTCATACATTCCCATTCATTATCCGTACAGTTCACCATTTTCGTCTGCGTTTTATTCATCCTGCCCACGGCATACCCAGTGAACGTCTTCAACATGAACTACGCAATTGTTGCTGTGGGCGGTCTTCTGGTCGTGATCACGATCAACTGGTTTTGGTGGGGAAGGCATAGCTTTAAAGGCCTTGTCAAAACGGCCATGCCTCGACACTGACATGAGAGTCAAAGGCCAAACAGATAAGAAAACAAATTCTTGGCCTCTGTATCACATGGCTAGCGGTACAATTACTATAGATTCTGATTGTTTTAACCGATCACATTCATCACCAAAATTACCGAATCCAGAGATCACATGATATATTGAATTTTCTGACGCCGCCAATTGTATATACCTGTGATATCCGACATTTGAAATATCGTAGCGATACAATGATACCAAACATACCATCTGTCAGACACAAGTCATCCAGTAGAGTAGCTGTCAGCCAGATATCAGACATATCCAGATACATCCAATGTATCATATAGAGTAATACAACGAAAAATGGGTGAAACTGAAGTAAAGTACCTAAAGGGCGCCCGCCGCCAGAGCACTAGTGTCGGTGTGGAAAGTGTTCATGAATTGCAAGTTCTTGGTACATCAATAAAAGCTAGGTATGAGATAGGTGCTTGATAGTAACGACCGTGATCGAAAAGACTTTATACACATACAAGCTAACATTCCAAAGGATAACAATAAATGGGTAGCGTTCAAGACTGTCAGGTATTATTGACCAAAAAAACCCTTCACTCTCCACATAGTGTCCAAGGAAGCAAACGGGAATCCGATTAGCAGCGTCATCTGCGGTTATGATTTATTGATTCGACGACTCCGAGAACGCTTACCAGTTGAGCAAAACCTTCCTCTCCGATGACTTGTGTTACGATGGATTCTAGTTCTGCATGGGATAACTTGTGAAGGGCCGGAGTGTCATGCAGTGATGCAACAAGCTGGGCTCGAATTGAATTACAAACTTCTGATAGGCGACTTTCCGATTGAAGAGATCATGTGACGCTCGAGGGTAGTGGAGGCGGGGGCATCATGTTCGGACTACTGAGAGCAGACGAGGATGGTTGGGAAGAATCAAGGTACAGAGCCTTTGTAGAGTGGATGGAACCAGCCGATGCTTGGCATTGGCTGGACTTTGGGATAGCTATCGGAGGTGTTTCTGGAGGTGTAACAAAGGTGCCGTCACAAGATGGTGCAGCCACAGATATCGTTTTCGTAGAACTGTTCTCAAAGCCAAGGAGTAAACCTAACTGGTGCCGATGGCGCGAATGCCGGTAAATTGGATTCGGACGATGAATTTTCTGAAAGTGGGCACACCGTCGTCAGCCTCTGTGACATGACTATTCAAAGCCCGCCGGCAAATTCCTATCAACTATCGACGCGCTACTTGATTTTTGCTTATCTCCCTATTCTATACCAATATCAACACCATTATGTAATTCCAATCCAATCAATTGACACGTCTCTGCAATGGTCACCATCACTCACACAGGCGACCAGAACCACTAAGTTTGAGGTGCCGAATCCTGCTGCCTAAGTTCTAACGCGCCATTGACATCGGTTACTCCGAAGTATTCTCCAGACTCAGTTGATCTCCCTCACTACACACCAGAAACAGTGCCAGGCATTCCCTTCGGCAGGTAAACCTGAAGCCCTGCAAATGTCATGAAGCAAGTATTGGACATTCTCCAGGACTCCACGATTGCGTCGAAGATTGGAAAGGACAAACAGTCTAGTTTCCGGGGGGTGTACAAACGATCCGGGGGGTGTACAAACGAGTCGCAGCGGAACATGACGACGAGTTCCTTGAGCGATACACTACTGACATGGACATTGTCTTGATCTTCGTAAGTTTAGCGTTCTTATCTTCGGCGCATTTTAAGACTGATGTTTGATTAGTCTGGTCTTTTCTCGGCTATCAGCGTGGCTTTCATCGTCGCGATGGAGTCTAATTTCAGTCCTGACCTCAGCGACATCACGAATTCCCTTTTGAAACGGCATCATCGAGTCTGAAGGCGTCATTCCAGATTATATTGATGGAATTTGTGTCACTGGTACGTTAGAGCCACTATTTTATTCTTAGGCTAATATCTTTTTAGATGCGAAAACCCTGCAGATCGCCCGTCGAGTCTTTCTTGAACAAAACTTAAAGCTTGTCGGTGCTGTGCATCAAATCAATCATCAGCACTTTCCACTTCCCTCGCATCAAGATTCCTACCATGTTTGCTGCAGTGATTCCCTGCCCTGCCAGGCTATGGCTTTTATACTGTCTTATCATTCATCTTCGTGAGTCACTTCCGTTTGATCTCATTCGTTCCATACTTAGCCACAAAATCTTGCAAGGTGCCATCCCTCCACTTGTTGGTGGTACACCATCCTCGTCGCCATCGTTTTCGCCCTCGCTACTAGCCTCTCCATCACCAATAACCTTCACCTCATCTCCAAAGTCGAGATCATGATCGACTTCAATTCAGCACCCTTACCGCTGTCTTCATCTTCCTCTTTGTCACGCACCTCCTCGCAGTTCCCCTGGCAGGCACCTCCTTGCAGCTCCCCAGCGCCTGTTCAACGCAAACCTTCTCCTTTGAGTGAAACTCCGACGTCTCCTCCACCCGCTGGACACAAAACAAAACGAGCAGCACCGGTGCCTCGAGCTGGTGCCCATGGTCGTGAGAGTTCTAGTAGCTATTTGTACTGTAAGATTTTTATTGCAATCACCATGGTTCGAGAGTTGGAACGCGTTCTGTTCGGAACTGTTCACTCAGTTGTACCTCACTGCTTTGCATTACCATTAATTCAATGCATCACATTGTTATATCCGAACGCAATTGCAATGTCTGATGAATCTGAGCGAAATTCAAATGCATTATGTACATAGCAATGTTTGATATATCAGTACACTAGCCTAATGCCAGACTATAGTCATACGGCAGTCGCAATGTCGGAATTGAGTTTCCTAACATTGCCTTACATTGAGACTTGCGCCAGATACATATGGCAGTTATGGTGGCTCCGACATGGTAATATATGACCATCTCTGGATTTGGTAATTTTGGTGATGTTGCAAGAAAAATTATGTTCATCGCAGTACATGCAAGAGAAACGTGCGTCATACTTTCATTTGGATGCGCACAGAACGACGAGGGCTTATAGCCGATTGTATCCTGTTGTTTGGGCTCGAAGAATGAGCTATTCTAGAAGATGGTGCTATAGGGAGGGGTGATGCATATGCCGCGGGGGATAGAGCGTCTTCGGGCACCTTTGGGAGGAGTTGAAAGGTTCATCTATGGAGGAACGCCGCGAGCGCCTCATGAGATACGTCCAGGCTGGTGAAGAGACTATTTTCCTCGCTCGTAGTAGCCACGAGAATCAAATGGTGCCATAGTGGGGCCCATATGTCAATGGAAGACCGTTGACAGCTCGAGCTTTGAGGAGTATGCCAAGAGCAGCTCCCCACATGGTCACGTCCAAAGAAGGCACCAAGTGGTATCTGCAAATGAAGCCAGTGATACAGATACCATGACTCAATGAGAGGCCTCGGACACGATATGTGCAGTCTGGCTTCCCATCTAGAGGACATCCTATACATCCACCAGCTCCACCACATTTAGGATGTCCCAGCCTAGAAATAAGTTATTGCAGAAACGAGTAATGTCCCTAGTTTATTCCGGTGTAGCAAGTCGATGTGGTACAGCTTTGGAAAGATCTTGGGAAGGCAATAAATTTAAACAAGCTATATTTGTCTTATTATGTAGTCCAATTCAATAGTCCGACGCATTGCATGTTGCAGACTACAAATTAGCAACTGACTATACTATTCTTGCAGATCACCATGGATGACTACAAGGCCTCGAAGGAGGCTTTTGTCTCTGGGATGACTGGTTCGACAGTATTTCATGTAAATCTGATAAGCGGCGTTGCATTGGTGTGTATCCCTACGTGTCTTCCCACTTCAGCAAGCTGACCATCTTCAGTCCTCGATCGCCCTTCATTCAGCACTGCATTCGCGTGTTCAAGCATTTGGGTCCGCATATTTCCTGGCAGAGTTTGTAATACTTGCCATGCCTCTGCTATTGTCTATGACTTTATTCGCGGAAGCTCCTGGCGCACTGTCTCTCCTACTACTCGTACCGATGCTTGTTTTGCTCCTTCTCCCCCCTCTTGAAAAAGGCACGCCTTTACCGGCTGAAAGTCGGGACGAACCAACTTCGCCAACTGGAAGAAGTCGAGCAGAGACTCCACCGATGCACTCATCTCAATCCCTCAATCCCTTACCTGCTCTGACCACCTATCGTGCTCATATGATGTTAATGACAATTCTGTGTATACTCGCTGTTGATTTTCCAGTGTTCCCCCGTATTCTAGCAAAGTGTGAGACGTATGGTGTTTCTTTGGTGCGTCTAGAACATATCATGTTTTTCAACTTTCACACAATTTGATTCATAGATGGACATCGGCGTTGGCTCGTTTGTATTCTCTCAAGGAGTGGTGTCTGCAATTCCAATCATCAAAGACATATCCTACCTCCAGGCTCCGATCCTTCCTAAACTGAAGACTGTCTCCCGTAAGATGATACCCATCATTGTGTTAGGCATTGTTCGCGTCGTGCTCGTGAAAGGCACTGAATATCCTGTAGGGTCTTGCATAGGCTTCATGTCTCATCCACCGCTTAACAGCTACAACAACTAGGAACATGTAACAGAGTACGGCGTACATTGGAATTTCTTCCTCACTCTTGCGCTTTTGCCTATCATCGAGGTCTTGTTGCATCCTGTCATCTTGCGTATCCCCGTCGCTCTGCTGGGTCTTTGGATTGGAGTTTGTAAGTGATAGCCTGGTCGTCATAAGAAACTCGAATTAAATGCCTGTTCAATAGTGCATCAATTCGCATTGTCATCTGGAGGAATGAAGGACTTTCTGCTCAACGCTTCGCGGAGCAACATTATTTTTGCGAACAAAGAGGGCTTGATCTCCTTGCTGGGTATAACTCGTTACTCTTGTAGGATGTGCGTCTTCTAACTCCTCTCCACCAGGTTATGTTTCGATCCACATACTCGGCCTGTCCTTAGGAACTGTCATACTTCCGCCCTCCCCTTCGTTTTTTCGGAAACAGCAGCACCAATTACTTGACGGGCCATCCTCTCACCGGCCTAGCAAACTTGATCCTTCAGCACCCAGACAGAATGCAAAGATTGTCATTGAGCTGTTTTCGTATTCAGTCGTTTGGTGGATGCTTTTGGCTTTCGTGAGGCTTGGATTAGAAGTTTCTAGAAGAATGGTTCGTCCTGTTTGTCTTGCTTTGCGTACACGATTTCATGTGAAAGCCTCATGTACTGAGATGGTTTCTAGGCAAATATTTCATATGTTCTCTGGGTTGCAGCTTACAATACCTCTTTCATCCTTGGCTACATTTTACTCGACATGGTGTTCTTTCCCACCAGAACGTTAAAGATACGAGATCCAACTGATCCCTCAGGCAAACGGCTTCTCATTGAGGAAAAGGGGCCAAAAAACAGCGCGCCCGCGCTGTTGGAGGCTATTAACAAGAATGCATTCATCCTGTTCTTGCTGGTTCGTCTTTCTAATATCACTTGCATTTGGCGTCCTGACATCTATACTCAGTCAAATGTGGCTACCGGTTTGATCAATCTCAATATCCAGACTATGTTCGTGGGTGACATGAAGGCAATGTGTGTATTGTGTGCATACTCTATGGGTATGTGCGGTTTTGCATGGCTTTTTAGGAGGAAACGGTCATGGAAGATGTGAGGCCATTTCAAAATATATCAAATAACATACCTTCCCAAACCGCTCTTACAGTTGAACCTCTACCAGTTGATGCTATCGCGAGACGTTTGTTTGGATTTTGCTGCTTGTTTCAGTCTTCAGCCCATTACGTCTCAAGCTGAAGGCTTACTGTGGTCGTTCGGAGTGCGATCAAGGTACAGTGGTATGTGAGGCATGTGTTTCTGGTAGTATGAATTCTATCACATGCACCACGTTATCTGCATGTGCATAAGACAGTTCGCTACAGGAGCGGCCCGTCATAACGGCATGGTGAAGAGGGTACACGGATGGTGTTGAGTGCAGTGGTGAGACAGGAACAGCCATTGTGCGAGTCTCAGGGCGCCTTTTGATCTCGGCCCGGCCTTTGAAGCGCCTATTAAGTTGTTCAAGCCTTCACTTCAGCTTCAAGTTCGCCCCTGAATATAGGCCTGAATGGCGCCCCCAAGTGTCACAACACCGTAATATGATTAAGAATTGAAACTATCCAAACATCATCATCTTCGCATCGCCCTTAACGCAGCTGGAACACAGAGTGGCATCGACTTTATATTGTAGTTATAAGCTGGAAATGATGTTATATTGCAACAAGTAGCTCGCTGTAGCAAATATTGTACGTAATAATTCTTTGGGAGACTTTAGCGAGCAAATACCAACAAACAAGATATGTTTCAGAAACTCGACTCATCCCGAAACCAGTACGCTTGATAGCAGAACAATGAGTCTGACAGAAAAAAAAATTCTACTCTACAAAAGTGCTGGAGGGTCGGGGGGATGATCACATCCCATCATGGCCTTTGACCCTCGGATTGTCATTGGACCGATGCAAGTTGGTTCGCTCTTGAGTGCAGTGTTCTACGGCTGCCTTATTTCGCAAATCTACGTGTATTTTAAACTGTTCCCAACAGATCCTCGAGGCTTCAAAATCGCCGTGAGTAAGTCGTAACTGGAAAATTTCATCAATATTGACGTTTGCCTACAGGTCACAGCTCTTGGGTACGGTGTGACTTCTCCACCAGCTTCGCGACTGACATGTGTGTTCTAGAACTTGGCAACTAGGCCACTTCATCTGCTTGATTGCCACACTTTGGACCATGACAGTGACTGCCTATAGCCACCCATCCATACTCAATACTCTTCCGGTCGGAACAAAAATTCTGCTCTTGCTTAGCAGCTTCACTTGCTCTACTGTGCAGGCAAGTGTTGACTATATTGTCCCCAACATAAGTCATATATTGTTTTTAGTCGTTTTACACCCATAGACTCTGGAAGCTTTCTAAAATCATCATTTTACCACTTATCTCAGGAATACTAGGTGTAACTGCGCAGGTTGCAGCTTTCATTTTCGTCATCCGCGCGTTTCACATGGCCAACCTCGAAACATTCGGAGAGGATCAGCACTTCATCATCGCATTCGCAGCCATCTCCCGTTCGGCATCTGACATTTTCACTACCATCAGTATTGCCGCCACCCTGAAGAAGCAAACATTGTACATTCCGGGCGTTTCGGTGACAGCTAAGATAGCTGACCGGATAATTGCGTGGACACTTGGTAAGAACATTACATTATGGTTTTAATTAAATTGACCTGGCCATAGAAACCTGTTTGGTAGCTAGGTAAGTCTTTCGCACCAGGGCTTTTCTTTTTTGAACGTCTTCGAAGTTTAGCGACGCTTTCAATCACTGTCCTGGTAAGATATACTTACACCTGAGCTTGCTTTTATCGCTGACTGAATACTTCAGCTCCTTACTTTACCAAATAGTTGGTTCCACTTTTTTTTGCATTTTTTTTTGTATTCACACCCTTTAGATGCCTGGTTTGGTCTATATCTAATCAATGCCAACGGTATATCGTCACTCGAATTAACAAGGGAAGTTACGCTGATTCTTTAACAGTAATTGCGAATTCGCTATTGGCATGGTAAGACAAATCAATTTTTCATGCCTACAAAACATTGATTCGATCTCGAAGGCTCAATCGCCGGTTCACGTTCGTACGTGATGATTCGGATTTAACACTATGCTCGACTATCGCCTTTGCTGGGTGATCTGTGTCCACACAAGGCCACTAGTCACAAAATTTGTTCTCTGTAACTCCGTCTCGTCGCCCCTCCTTGAGAGGAGAGATGTCGACTCCTAAAATTCATTGTATTTGCCTTGTATTTCTTTCCCAGTTGTGTGTATCACTTGACCTGTATCACTAGTCGTCCTTGTAGTCAAATTGTGTATCTCGTCGCCTGTACCTGTAGCACCAGTCCCCGTAGCGTTCATGTTTAAGTCTGCTAGATCATTACAAGTAATAAGTAAGTTTATCATCAACTCCCACCCATCGGCACAAGATCCTGTATGTGGTGGCCTGTCCATATAGGACCAAGCGTCTGTCACCTATAGATAGGCCCATTGGCCCTTCATCCTGCGTATCCATTTTGTGAAGCACTTGGGGTGCAAGCGTCGAGCAGGAGGGTTCTTTGATGAAAGGCCAATGGAGGATGGTTGAGATGTACGGCCAGATATGTGCCCTAGATTTAATCGTCAGGGGCTAAACAGAAGAACGGTAAACACTTCAGAGGGATGTAGCTTGAAGCTTGAAGATTCGCAGTAGTATTCACATAGTACAATGTCAGTACAGCAAAAACGGTGGGTAACTGCAATATTTGTATGGTGTGTAGTAGTCGAGCCTGAGGAGAGTTCAGTCAAGGCTGGCTGAGCCTAATCACGTGGTGACATCCACAATAAATGCTCCGGGATTCACATAGCCGGAGAGTTTCAGGCTCAATTGAACTTCCAAGTTCACAACAGATAGTAAATCTCACCTCGAAGAGCATCAACTTTACAACGCTTTTGTCTCTGCAATTATGAGCTACGACCTTGGAAAAGCTGTCGGCTTCAAGTCCAAAGATCAACCAGTGCGTTTCAGTCTTACAGTAGTACGAATTCGAGTTTGTACGGCTTGCTCATATGTGCTAGGTTTCATGGACTCGTAAAGACATCATCACGTATGCTCTTGGGGTAGGCGCGAAACATGACGACTTGTCTTTGGTATATGGTAAGTAAATTCATATCCTTGTTCGCTTCATACATGTTAACCCACCTTCGTAGAGCTTGGTAGTGTCACAGTTGTTTTGGCATGCTTACGTTTGGTCATTGACGTGTCCTGCAGACAAGTCGTGGGGACCACTACCGACATACCCTGTAGTTCTTGGACTGAAAGGTGGGATCAATCAGACATCCAAGCAGTGCAATGAAGGCGTTAATGTCGATAGGCGATGACCAGGATGTCACCTTGTTCGCAGCCAAAACGGGCGGTGAGCCTGTTCCGGGTCTTCCGAAGCTGAACTCCAAGAGGGTGGTAAGTGACTCGTAAATTGTTTTATTCAATCCGTGTTCACAAATCTGCAGGTCCATGCAACCCAAAGCATTGAAATCCTGAAAGACCTTCCAGTGGCTAGCGGATCCGGCTGGAAGCTCTCTCGAAGAGTAGTTGGTGTACATGAGAATAGTGCGTCCATGAAATCTATAAGCACTTCTTCTAGCTAATAATATTCCAGAGTCTGGAATCATTATCGACAATGAAGCTATATTGCTTGACCCTCATGATGTTCCTTATGCGAAGCTTTATGTGAGGCGCTCAAGCAAGCTGAATATCCACTATGCTTATCCCAGTCATAGAGTTCAGCCTTTTACCTTGGTTCAAAGGCCAACGGGGACAAGTTCTCTAAAGCTGTTGCAGCCCCACCTCAGGCGAAGCCTGTCCCTAAGGACCGAAAACCGGATTGGGTTGTTCGGGATAAGACAACACCAGAGCAAGCTCTGATTTACAGGCTGAGCGGCGATTACAACCCTCTGCATATCGGTAGGCTCTTTGCATATGTAATGGGTTTTCTCGGACTGAACTGCCTATCAGACCCGGAACTTGGCAAAGCGATGGGCTTTGGTGGTGTGATTTTGCACGGGCTGTCAAGTTATGGGTTCGCTGCAAGAGGTTTGATTCAAGTGATAGCTAATGGGAATTCTCGTGCCCTGACGGTCTTTGGCGCGAGGTTTACGTCTCCTGTAAAGCCTGGTGACGAGCTGGAGACGTCAGCATGGGAAGTTGGACCTGGTCCGAACGGCACCTCGGAAATTACGTTCATAACCAAGAACCTGACATCTGGCAAAGTGAGATACTTGTCGTTCTGTTTCTTGTCTTGTTCTGAACAGTTTGGCACAGGTCGCATTGGGCAATGGTGTCGCCTTCATCAAAAAGGCAGAAAAGAGCAAGTTGTAGTCAATGAGTTACTTTTCGTTATGTTGGGGATATGATACATATTCACAACGAATCATGCCCGTGTAAATTCTTATCAATTTGTATTTGTACATGTAAGTTTATATATCTTCACGACTCATCTGCAACATTGCCGTTGCTGTCGTGTTGTTGTTGTGCCCAATCCTACAACGACCTAACGACTCCTAGAGAGATTCCTTCTCAAGCTTCGTCCGCAACACTCTTCCCCGGTCTAAAATGGCATCAGCTTCGAGATAACAGCCCTTCAGCCATCGAGTCGTCTCGTTATATGCACCCGCACCAGAGCCATCGTCAGTGAATGAAGTACGTGCGTGTAGAACCCGCCGATTATCGAATAGGACAGCATCGCCTTCGCGCAGGGTATAATCTAGGATGTTCGCAGGATCATCAAGCAGAGCAGCATAGCGTCCCAGGGCGCCGTAAAACGCGGGAGGAGTCGAATCTAACAACAGAGGAGCTTGGAAAGGTGGGGAATAATTGATGTGTTTTATTTTAGACACGCCGGGTGTAGAAATACCGGTGGACGAGCCAGTGCCTATGGCTGGGGGCAACGAAGCGAGTTCGATGGTGGGGTGCTCGTGATGAAGGTGATGTCCATCATTGACGTAATGGAATGGGACCGGTGTGGTAGCCAGGGTATCAAAGTCCACTGGATGGGTCTTACGCAACGTCTCCGCAGCGTGGAGACCGTCAACAAAACGTGAAGTACCGCCTACCACCCGATTGCGAAGACAGTGGAGAATCTGATATCGAGGTGGGTGTTCAAAGTATCTGTCGGATCATCAGAGCCTCATCGAGACAGCGCATCAAAACTACATACAGGAGATCCATATGCATACCTAAGTCGAGATTAGTATAGGCGATGTTTTTGCTGTTACGGATGTTCTTGACATCCCACAGCTCCCCGTAGAAGGTTTCGCGCAGTTCGCCAAAAATATTGGCAAGTTTGCGGAGCTCGCATGTCTTGTTTGTGTGCTCGGTATTCGGGACACCTGTGAGGAAGAGTAGTCCATAGCGAGTAAGCTGTGTGATGGCAGAGAGAAGCTGGGGGGGCTTGTTTATGGCTTCATAGGTCATATAGAGGTCAGGTACTTGGGAGATGGTAGATACATCCCAAGATATCGGTTGTACATCTTTGTGAAAAGACGACAGTCTGGGAGATGATGAGTAGCGTTCCAAGAAAGAATGCTCGTAAAACGATTTGTGATTATCTACCCACTCGACGTGTATGCCACTGTCCTGGGAAGTTATGCCATGAGGAATGGGACGAATATCAGCGGGAATATCTGATGTCCTACGAAGCTTCTGAGATGTAGACGGATGCACACAGGCTGCGCATTGGCAGGCATCTCGCAGCCATCTATGAGGAAAAGAAGCGCCGAGAGTAGGAACAATCAGCCGGGAATCGGTTGTCTGAACTCTAGCTTCAGTATATGTACGACGGAAGGAAGGAATAATCTGTCTGGAGAAGGCTGGAGTCAGGAACTGATGCGCACGTAAACCGCACTGATACCCCAAGTTCATCTTGGTGTTATGGAATTTGAAATTTGACCCCTGCATTGTGCAATGGGACATAAAAATTCCCATCACCGTCTGCAAAGCTGTGCTTATTTTTTCCACGGCTCGAATGTCGATTTTCACCAGTACGCACAGTCACAGAGTCTGTGCATCGTCATGCTGGAAAGTTGAAGCACTGGACTCTTTGTTGGAGTGCGCATGTCGGCTTGCAGAGGAACGGGCCGAGCTGATGTGCTCAGTGCTCACCATCTGCTGTCAACTTGAACAACGTTACAGTCTAGCCCGATGGCATTCAGAATTGTACCACAATTTTGTTTAACTGACCCATATCTTGAGCAACATCATACGAGGCAAAGCAAAATCAATTCAAAGCAGTGTTAGGGCGTACATCCATCAGTGAACCGGTGAACAAAAGAGAATGGTATTTAAAGCAATATATTGTTGAGCATCGTAACAATTAGCGTAAATTTGTCGACCGCTTTCACATGGGAATATTTGGCCTTGTCGAGGAATGACCAATTTGCAAGCACACAGGCCTGGTAGCCGTGTTTGCTCCAAGAACTTTTTCACTTGGATGGGTCTAAGAAACAACGTGCGAGCACAGGTTCAAGCATTTCAATATGGACCAAGTCTGAGAAGAACAAGGAAGGAGGTTGCAGTGTGCAGAAATGAAAGACACTTGGGTGATGCTCACCCGTGAAGAGGATGGGTGTCATTTGGTCTTTGCACCGAATGCGCAGGTAACTTACTTGGCTGAAAAGTGTGAGTCACAGTAACCATTACTTCGCAATGGACACTTTGCCTGTATTGACTGAACGTTGGATCAGTTTCACCGTGAAATATTTGTTTGTAGACCGTCGGACAGAACAATGCAATATACGGAGCGCAAACATTGTCCTAAGGTATGTCAGAGTACATATAATTTCTCAATGGATAGATTTCGTAGTCTGTCGCCGAGAAGCAATAATTGCCCAGTGGAAACTTTCCGAAACACAACGCTCCATCAGATAATCCCTTCGGACAAAATGAAAGGATTACAATTTTGCTCGAGTGCACAGAACTTGCGGTTGTGATCATGTTTGTCGGTGATCCGAAAACCTTGGTGTAGCGCTACAGGCATCCACAGTGGCAGTGCTAAACTGTAATTCGCGCAATTTTTCGCGCCTTCACAATCACACTCCTTTCCGCCTCCCAAGCCCAAAATTTCCGATGATCTTGTAAACTACTGAGCAACATCACAGTCTCTTAGGTTTTAGTTCGCGCAATCTTTCGCGCCTTCACAATCACACTCCTTCCCGCCTCCCAAGCCCAAAATTTCCGATGATCTTGTAAACTACTGAGCAACATCACAGTCTCTTAGGTTTTAGTTCGCGCAATCTTTCGCGCCTTCACAATCACACTCCTTTCCGCCTCCCAAGCCCAAAATTTCCGATGATCTTGTAAACTATTGAGCAACATCACAGTCTCTTAGGTTTTAGTTCTCGCAATCTTTCGCGCCTTCACAATCACACTCCTTTCCGCCTCCCAAGCCCAAAATTTCCGATGATCTTGTAAACTACTGAGCAACATCACAGTCTCTTAAGTTTTAGTTCGCGCAATCTTTCATGCCTTCGCAATCACGCTCCGCCCGGCCTCCCAAGCCCAAAATTTCCGATGATCTTGTGAACTTAGGTTCTACTGCACTGGTCGTCAGTTGTCGCAACAGATACCGGACTATTATCATGGATGGAGACGGCAAATTTCTTTCTGAACTACTGAGCAACATCACAGTCTCTTAAGTTTTAGTTCGTGCAATCTTTCATGCCTTCGCAATCACGCTCCGCCCGGCCTCCCAAGCCCAAAATTTCCGATGATCTTGTGAACTTAGGTTCTACTGCACTGGTCTTCAGTTGTCGCAACAGATACCGGACTATTATCATGGATGGAGACGGCAAATTTCTTTCAGCCAGGGAAGATTACCCTCCTAGGGATTTGAGAATAAGGAAAGTTAGCGTTGTGTTACCTGACATCTCAGCTCGAGATTATGAAACAGTGTGCTATTGATAATGTTTCGTTGGATGGATCATTCACCTGGGTTGCCCAATTAGGGAGCCTTATTATACTTGACCATTACGTGCCTCGGCAACTCTGATTAGGCATGTTTGTGCTAAAACCCAACACCAGCATTAAATGCTGCCCCAAATTACCTGGGGCCTTCACTTATTCAACCTATGTACTATAGCCTAGGGTGGGGCGGGTATTCGGACTCTATCAGTAACTTCCCGCGCCCTTCCCGCCTGCGCCTAGAAGGGTTATCCACCAAGCCAATGCATTCTCACGCCCCTTGCCCTCTTCCACATCGTCCGCTATCCGGTGCTGCTGCATATCCTCAACGCCTGCCATGCCTCGTGGCTCTACCACTTACAAGGTCACCGGGTTGTCGAAGTCGGTCATTTCTCACCATTTTCGAGGACGCCATCGTCGATCAGAAGTCCTCGCGGCTGGCAAACAACAGCATCAAATAATGGCAACGGATACCAGCCGCCAGGCTGAAATACAAGGTATGTTTTCTCATTTACTTTCCGCCTCATTCACTATAATTTTTGCAACAGAAATGTCCGCAGAGGACCGAAATGCGGTGGAGACCATGATTACCCACCATGGCATCGATGTCGAGGCGCTACCATACACTGCTCCTCCTGGAGAGGAAGGTTTTGATATGAGTCATGCAGGTGGGGAACATGAAGTGTTCGAAGGGCTGGCACATCAGGTGGCCGACATTGGTGGATAGTAAGTCCTATTCACTTCATCCTGACATATCTTGTTTATACTTCAGCACAGTCGCTACATAGATCCTCGCACTTGCCGAGACCGCACAGAAGACCAGACTTCTCATTGGAATCTCCAGATCAAACACCTTGTGGATGCCTATCTTGACTACCGCGCTCGAAATTCTGGCAATGGCATACCAAACCCACAAGACTTGCCCACAGTCCCACCTTTGGACATAGATACGACGGACTGCCCTTCACTCAACAACATCGAGCTCATTGACATTTTCAGTAAGTATCTTCGCACTATTTCAAAGCATTATTTCATTCTCCCACAGGGCGGTGCCGTTCCTCTCTCCAGCCGATAGCATCGCACAGGTTCCCTAACGAGACACTTATCTATCATGGCTACATCGGATGCGCCCCGATGTACCCAACCATTGCAATTTCGCTCCGTACTCTTGCCGCCTTCCGGCAATGTCATCGAGCCTGTCCTCGCTTCAGTATCCAGGCACAGTGTAGAACACTTTGTTTCCTTCATGATGTGAGTATGGGACGATACTCTCGGCAGCCTGTCTATTGATATGTAATTGATAGATTCCTTACCGGCCCTACCTCAATACACAATTCTCGGCCGCTTACGATATTTATTTGGAAATCATCCATCACGTTGACCAGCGCCTCAAGGCGGCGCTCAAACACGACACTCCCAATTGGCGCTTACTAAATTCCTGTCCCGCTTGCTTCTATAAACTCCAAGATGAGCCAACCCTTGATTTCAACTGGCTCGTGTGCGTCGATGGCAACAATAGCTTAAAGAGATGGGATTCCTCCATCTATGGTAACACTGCTTGGTTGGATTCTCGTCAAGCTCGTTCAGACTACTGGATTGATCGTGAAACTGTTGACAAGTATAAACACGAAGCGAAATCGTGCGATGTAAGTCGACTAACTTAATTTGAGCAATTTTTGATCGCATTGTGCAGATCAACTCCCATGATGATAACTGGGAGGAAGAGCCGGTTGACGCTAGCACTAACCCTTCTAATGTGCTCACTTGTGTTGATCGATGGTGCAATGCTGGCCCTGAGACTCGTAAAAAAATGTTTTCCGTGTTTCATGAGTCTGGGATCTTTATCGCTGCTTGTCGCCACCGCTTCATACTTCTAGCTTGCGACATGGTTCAGAGTGGCGAGCTGTTAGTCTATTTTTGTCATGGTTTGACGTTTGTTGATCATTCCAACAGAGCTAAATATCCGTTGGCGCTCATTGACAAGCTCCTCACTGTATATGGAAAGAACGGGGGCTGTGCTTATGATATCGGATGTGCCTTCTCAAAGACCCTGAGCAATAGTTCCTTCGGCTCTCGAGCGCACGATCTTGGTTTTCGGATGATGGTCGGGTCCTTTCATGGCCATGCACACAACCACAAATGCCAGTTACGTTGGCATCCAATGTATATTCCTGGAATGGGACACACTGAAGGCGAAGGTTGTGAACACATTTTCTCTGCTTCCAATGAGCTTGCTCGTAGTACTAGACATGCCAGTTCCTTCCATCGACATCAATCTATCAAGGAACACTTCTCATTTTGGGATCAAGACAAGTACGCTAGCCTTAGTTTGTATATTCCACTTTAGCCTTAGTTCACAGTACTGATTAGCATTCCAATAGGTAATTTCTTATGGAACCACTATCGAGAAGCGCTGAAGGCAGTTCACAATCTCACCACTGAACTCACAGCTATCAAACACGAGCTTCGACTAACCGATGATGATTTCGTTCGTTTTCTCGACGAAGAGCAAAAATACCTTGATGATCTGAAGCAGCCACCAGCCGAAGACCGTATCCGCATTCGCTATGTTGAGACACTTGATGAACTGGCTGAACGAAGGTGAACTAACCTCATTTAATTTACGGTCATTTTTAATATCAAGTGTTTTTTTTTTAGGTCCGATTGGGATTCGGCTCGCCAAGCAGCCAACAATGCACTTACCGAACTTCCGGCAAGCAGCCTAGTGCAGATCAATCAAGCTCTAACAGTTGCCCGTATTCGGGTTGATTCATCCTATGCTAAACTACAGCACGCGGAGGCACTAGTGGCCCACATGGAATCTCAGCTTGGTGTAGATGCACGATGGGAAATTGGTGGTGAGGAGTATAGCTGCTTCAAGGAAGAAGCTTCTCTGGGCAAATATCGAGCTGCGCTCAATGACTTAGAACGCTTGGTTGTGATGCGGCTGTTTGAACTTTCAAAGCTGTCGTTATCGGGCACAGGTAAACGATTTCTTTTGATTTGGTTATGTCAAATCAATAACATTTCTCGAGGGTATAAACTTCGTCAGCAAATTAGCAAAGCCCTACAACGACGTTCTGAGGCTATCTGCAAAGCTATCGCACGCTACAATGTTCAAGCTGTAGCCTTGAATCCTCCGTGCGACAAGATATCATGGAAGGACATCGCTGATTACACTTTCCTTGGAGAGTTTGACCTCTTGCAGCACTCTCGCAGCGATGTTCGAAGTGATGATTGGGCCAAACCGGCTTACCGAGAAGAAACTTCAAAGTATTTCAAGCTCCTCCGTGCTCGTGAAGAAATCACTCGACTTAACGTTGAAATTCGGCGTCTCCGCACTGCTATTTACGATGAAGAACTTCAGGCCACTGCTGTCATTCGCGATCTTTCTGGTTCTGACCCATTGCTTGCTAGTGAGCTGAAGCGCCAGTGGCGTTCTCGAGCAGCTATCAACGCTGTCCATGTTTATCGCTTAGATCAAATTGGGAGTCTTACAGGATTCTCTGGTGTCCGTGGTATTGGCACTCGCCTCGAGACACCTTCAACAACCATGGTAGAAGGTGACTCAGAATGCAGCACACTGAGTCTTGACGACGAGGGCGCTCCTTCCTGTATGTACCATACAACTATACATTTCACGCTAACTTACAATCTTAGTAGGTCGAGAGGACATCGATGACATTCAGGCAATCATCATGTCTGATTATGTTGACATGGATGCCATTGATCGGGAAGAATTTGGTAGGGCAACGGAGGACATCGCCGACTATTTACAATCCATTGTCGACTGAGCACTGTAGTTTTAATGTTGTATATATATTCAGTCTTTGATATATACATTGAGTTCTGACTGCACAACGTCTGTTTGAAGCAAGTCGCAAATGTTGATATATATATTGAGTTCTGACTGCACAACATCTGTTCGAAGCATTTGAAGCAAGTTGCAAATGGGATGACATCATCGTCATCTTTGATTTCAACCACCTTGTCTCAAAAACAGATCGTTTATACAAAGTAGTCCATAGCGTAGTGTATATACGTGTTGATGTGAGCAATTTGAAATAATTGAAGCTTCATGCGTTGTTTAAGCATGAATGTTGCAGAAACCATCTCACTCCTGAATGGGACTTGCCGGTGATTGGACATTTCAGCCATTATCGACAAGTCATCGTCATCTTCTATTACAGTATTCACCATATCCTCTGCCGCTATCATGATAATAGTACTTGAGACATGTATCACAGATCACCCGCATGCTCGCCAGTTGAGTCATGGTGTTGGGCCATTGGTGCATTTCAACTTGAAGTCGTGAGTCACTTCACTTGCTTAGCGCATATATTGAGACTCTTTTGTTTACGGCACAACTTCAACACCAGCATGACCACTCCCACAAAACTTAGGAAAAAAGCACCCTCCATCATCACGCAGTCCGACTTCCTGTCTCAAACTGCGGGCTTCACCAATCGCTTTTCTATGAGTAGCATCGCTGCTCTTTATACTTCACAGTTTGCGGAAGGCTTCAGCAATAACGAACGGCAAGCATCCATCAGGGCCTCACTCAGGCATGATGCACACATCGACGGTGCTCATTATTGGATGAAAACAGCTGGTGGTCTTCATTCGTCGTACATTTCATTCAACCCTGCTGTGGAACAGACAGAACAGAGGGTTCTTACTCAGGATGACCTCTTAGAAGCGGCACTGCAAGACGTTTTCAATGCAGTGAGTTATATTAATCAATTTTCTTTCTTAAATATCTTGTACTTTCTAGATCACCATGCAAGACCGTCTCGATGGCGGCATCTCCCTTCTGATTCGTTGTGGTGGCATTGAAGCCGGCCCCAACATCTCACCAGAACAAGTGCCCATCGACCTCTATATCACACCCCGCGAATTGCAAGAAACAGGCCAGCGCATCGGTGGAGACCTTGCTGTTTTGGTCCAGGCCTTCGCGCAGGAGTTCGCTGTTCCACATCTCCATCGTTTCATGCAACGTTGCACTGCCGAGAATGTGAAACCGCCTAAGCATTGTAAGTTCTTATTCCTTGTATTTTCCTGAGCCTTGCTGATGTGATACTATAGTCCCTGCTACGCACATCAGTCCAAATGGGCCACAATATTTGCCAGCACCCATGGTCGCTACTGGTGCTTGTATCCAGTGTTCTGCACAAGCACCTCATGTGTTTGCGAGCGCCTTGCAAGCTCTCTCGGATGCGAAAGTGCCTAACACGTCATCGGCTGCTATATGCCACGGTGTAACAAGTGCCATGCAACATCAGATTCGTCAACGGCAACCTGCGGATGTATTTCTTAGTAGCAGGAACCCCGGTGATAGCTTAGTGGCTGGTCAATCGGATACTCTGCGTGGTGGTACTAATTCGGTTGGGCCAGCGCTCATTAGCGTTGGACCAAACACTGATGCAGTGCTTGATCGGTTCAAGCTTGGGGATGAGATTTTGCCCAAGCTGCGAGTTTTAGCCAGCACCGTCCGTAGCAGCCGATGGGAATCTGTTTTCAGATCTCCGAAGTGGGATTTGTCCTACGAGCAAGCTTCCTTGTTGTCAAAGGCCCTTCTTGCTGACTTACAGGACGTACCACTCAACCATGATGTTGTCCAGGTCAGTGATTTGTTTGTTACCTAACCTTCTGTCCTAATTTTCTTTAATTAGTCACCATCCGCACTAGCAGCTGTTCTCACTAGCATCTTGAAGATCCTTGGCATTTTAGTTTTTTTATGTGCGCTATACTTTTTTGGGCTTTTATTCCTGTAGATCTTGAGTTTGTGCCGTAGACTCAATATACTCATTGATGGTTCATCGCTTCGTAGATCATCGACCCACACAAATAAATATACCCTCGGTGCGTTTAAAAGTTGGAACTCGACCTTGAAAAGTTCACAGACACACTAACCCATCATGGCTACCCAGTCCTTCTATGCAACCAAGCGCACTGGCGGTACACGTCATATTCGGATGCCACTTCGGACTCGTCCCAAGGTCTCGCTCAGCAAAGAAGCTCGAGCAGCATTGAGATTCACGCAACGCGAGAAGTCCCGTTTATTCAGAGATGCTCTCAACGACGCTTGGAGCCAGATTGATCAGACAACCAAGACCATTGCAGGTTCCCACCATAAAAGTATTCGACGCGTTCAGAATAATTTATACTTTGGTCGTGGTATGCTGCGCTCAAGGCGTGTGAAGCCTAATCTCTGGAACACTTTTTGCTGGAAGAAAAATCAGGAAAAAGAAAATAGTAAGTTTATTTGTTGTCGCTATAACACACTCTAATATGACACCTCAATAGGTGGCCTCGGCAAGGCTGCACTCCAGTCGCTAGTCCGCGACCATAAGGACGAATATCACGCACTGTCAAAGGAGGAGCAAGACGAGCTTCTGGAGGAGTTTGCCAACTCGAGGGAGACCAAGACTATGGGCTTGCGTATCTCTGCAAAGTCGAAGGTCAATGACATCATGCAGACTTTGAAGGCTGTCGAGAACGAGGTTAGTGATCATTTCTATCAATTTTGGTTTCACTAATCCTAAGTCCTACCAGCTTAACAGTCTTAAATGTCGTACAGGTGCAGAAACCATCCTGTACACAACGCGAGGCTCAACAGACCTTCCCCTTTGAGGAGTTAGCTTTGCCACCGAGGGCGTTCAAACATTCATGGGTTCTGTGATGGGAATTGATGGTCAGGATCTGGTAAGCAAGATGGAAGGATTCGCGGTCCAAGGAATTAAAGGTCTGTTTTTGCGCATCGAGTTAGTACCTATTATCTAATGTTGATATTCAGGTGCTGCCAAGAATCACCAACAGCGTGTCTCCGGGTTGTGTTCATCAATCCGCGAGATCATGAATAGCAAGCTACGTAAGTTTTATTTCATTCTGCCAGTAGTAGCGTGTTTTTTAACTTAATTTCGTCAACAGAGGAAGTTACCGGTGATGATCGTGCCAAGATGCAGTGGGTTCACTACTTCCGCAACGTTATTCAGCGCTACCAAGTGGTAGTCGAAGGGTGGCCAAACAACATTCCCTTTACCAACCTCAGCAAAGTATCGAGTGCGATTCCAGACCTTGAGATGCTCTTACGGAAGTGGGAGTCAGGCGCTACATACTGGAAGGCCATAGATGACATAGAATTCGAATGGCTTCGTCGAGAGCGCGATGAAGGGCTCGAAAGCGGTGATATTATTGATCAACGCCGGCGCACTCGATCTGACAAGGGGAAAAAACACAGACAGCCTGCAGGAACTCAGAATGGAAGGAAGACAGTACATAAGAGTGCGGAATTCGTTGATACTGATGATGAACAGGACGAGCCTCGTCTCCAGTCTCCAGAGCCTCATCTCCAGTCTCCAGAGCCTCGTCTCCAGTCTCCAGAGCCTCGTCTCCAGTCTCCAGTAGCACAGCCCGCTACCAGTGGCAGCCTTCCTTCTACCACCCCTGCTCCCGGGTTTCAGTTCAATGCCCTCGAGTTTCCATTCAATCCCCAGTTCAATTTGAACGCCCCCGAGTTCCAGTTCAATACCCCCGAGTTTCAGTTCAATCCCCAGTTCAATTTCGATGGTCCTGAGTTCCAGTTCAACGATGCGCCTGACTTCGGTCCTGGGCCATTGCTCAACTAGATGGAGTTAGTTACTTGCAGTTGAGTTTGGAGCGGTCGTTGTGCACTGTAGTGATACCTAATGTTTTTTTCTTTGATCTTGCAAATATTGTCTCATACATACAGTCCCAGCTCAGTTTACTATCACGGAACGTTCAATATAATGAAGGCGCCATGTGTTATTTACTACCTATGACATGAACTTAACAATTTACCGATGACATTGAAATAAAACCACTGCTAGAGCAAACTGATGGCGCAGAGCTAGTGTTGGAGAAGCGGATGGTAGAAGCACTATAAACCACACCGATCCAAAATTGTTTACGCCGCAGGAGGGATATGAAGAACCCTCGAAGGAGGGTCGAGGTCTTCGAGTGCCTTCAAAACCACACCGATCCAAAGTTGTTTACGTCGTGGGAGGGATATAAAAGGAGGGTCGAGGTCTTCGAGCGCCTTCAAAACCACACCGATCCAAAGTTGTTTACGTCGTGGGAGGGACATGAAAGGAGGGTTGAGGTCTTCAAGCGCCTTCAAAACCACACCGATCCAAAGTTGTTTATGCTGCGCTGTATTTTCGACCGGCAATCTCTTGGTGGGTGTGAGTAGTGGGGTTATGTGGGGAGGAAGGTGAAGTGACCTTGTAAGTGGTAGAGCCACGAGGCATGGCAGGCATTGAGGATATGTATAGGCTAATGGTGGACGGTGGTGCATGCGCTGAGAAAGAATGGGAACGAACCAGAATGGCGGGGTACCCTTGTAGGTGCACGTCTGTGTATATGGTGGGGTTGCGTCAGTGGGTGATCAGAAGGTACCCAGAGGGCAGCAGCACCGGATAGCGGACAATGTGGAAGAGGGCAAGGGGCGTGAGAATGCATTGGCTTGGGGGATAACCCTTCTAGGCGCAGGCGGGAAGGGCGCGGGAAGTTACTGATAGAGTCCGAATACCCGCCCCACCCTAGGCTATAGTACATAGGTTGAATAAGTGAAGGCCCCAGGTAATTTGGGGCAGCATTTAATGCTGGTGTTGGGTTTTAGCACAAACATGCCTAATCAGAGTTGCCGAGGCACGTAATGGTCAAGTATAATAAGGCTCCCTAATTGGGCAACCCAGGTGGGATCATTGGTATTTTAAATTGACAGTCCAACAAGCCGCAAAGTTATTCGGACGTTGGGGAGTCGTTTTCGGATCTCAGAGTATCAGCCTGATCATATTTATCTTGTTCTATTGCCACAGGACCATCGTGGTCTGACCACTGGCAAATTCTGATCATTCATATTAAAATTGCCAGTTTATCACTGCGTCGTGCGTTGTCACACACTACATCCATCAGAAAATAAGCACATCAAATTTATCTCACGCAAATCAGGAGACATTAACATCACGATGGCATTAGTAACTGAGGTATAATGTAGGATTGAAATAATGCAGCGGGGTAAAGAGGATATAGCGATGAAAGCCAAGGCAATGTAGTGAGTAGAATGGGACCAGCAAACAAGAATGTCAAGTAACTAGTCGGAGTCGAATGAGGCATCCTCCATCTGCTGTCTCTGAGCAGCAAGACTATTGACAGACATGTGCTTGACAACATCCGACGTTAGGTCCTGTCGATGATTTCTTCCGAAAATTTTCCTACGCAGGGAGTTAGTGATCCAGAGGAGTCACTGGCAAGGTCGACGACTTACCTGGTCCACCAGTCGAGAAGCTTGTTCACCCTGGCTAGCGCAGCTGGACCTGGGGGATCCTCAAAAAGTCTACGATATTGTTCCAAAACATTTGATAGTCGAAATCTGCATCTACGGTACGCCAGGAGGTGATATTAGAAAGCGCGAATCGGATCTGGAGAATTAAATTTCAACTTCACGGTAAGAGAGAAGCGTTGATACTTACTTGGCAAGCTGTATACGCGATTGCGCGAGGAGTTGCCTTCCTCATACCAATGATGGAGGCGACACAGGTCTTCACTCTGGCGTGATCTGAACGTCTCCGAGCGCGTCGGTTGTTCTCGATGATATCAGCGCCATCGCCATCGCCATCCACTTCGTTTGCAGAGGAAGGAGAAGTGAAGATGGCTTTGAAGCCCTGCAATGCGATGAGCTATGGGAATCAGTTGGAAAAAAATATGCGACTCACCATAACCAACAGCCTAGACTTGAAAAGGCCACACTCCAGATTCTCAATGTCAGCTTCATAATTTTCATACATGAATGACGGCCATGAGTTTTCAGAAACGATGAAAGTAGTTGTACGATCACGAATGCCAGCCTTGACGCTAGATAACACATCAGTAACACCTGAGTGACGAGGACTATCCTTACACTGGGTCCTCCCAGCGCCATTCCGCTGGGCAGAGTAGTCTACCGCATGCATCATTTACGAATCCTTGATGGTGCTTGTCGTCTGTTTCTGATGAGCGAATCCGGGCGACACTCGATGTTGACCCATGATGCCACGAGCTCTTTCAGAGTGCCCGTGTCATCACCGCGAGCTGAATCTGCGCCTCGCTTGAGCTACATTAACAATTAGCAAAGAAGCGTGACAAAGATGCTGGAAAACACCTTGCGAAGCATATCTTCCGACTCCTCGAAATCAAGACCTGCCAGCTTCTCATGAAACCACGGCAATACCTTGGCAAGTTCGATGTATCTGCGTTGAAGGCGGTTTTGCCTGTTCATCGTTAGAAAAATAATGGTAACATGAACATAGATGGTTACTCAATTGTATTACCGCCGTCCATGTCTTCACAACGCCGGTCATTCTCGGCAACCAGGTCCTCTATTGGAGTGTACAGGACAACCATCCTACGAAGTGCTCGTCCCTGCGAAACATAGTAGATCGTTTTCCTATGATCAGAAGTATTAAAACCGCTTTGAGAGACCGAAAACGTGCACACCTTTGCTTTGTCGCTTTGTCTTGCTTCAAGATTTCGACCTCCTCCATGAGGGCGGCAATTTTTCGCTTCGCCCGCGCTTGAGGAGACGTTGAGACACAGAGCGATACCACTGGGACAGGAGGAGAAGGATTGCCCTCGCAGTCGTTCTCTGTCATTGGTATATCAGAGAGCAGTACGAAGGGGAAGAAGAGAAGTGAGGAAAGGGTGTGGGAAGTGAACGAAGGGTGAAAGCTTCTGCGAGGGTGTCTTATATACTTGCAGTCTACTAGCACGCCAATGACCTTATCTAAGCTGAAGACCTTGAATGCATTTGTCTCAAATAAGCAGTGGAATTTTTCCCTTACTTGGTAACCCCGGAAGTGCTCCTCACGGAAACGCGTGAAATGACGGGCTGTGTCTCCAGTCACAACTAAGTTCTGACATCAGCATTTTCAATGACCTAATATAAAGCGAAGATAAGTTGAATGAATTGGTCTCGAATAAGCAGCGGGACTCTTGCCTTAATTGGTAGTCCAGAAAATGTTCTTCGCTCCCGAGGAAACACGTGGAAGAATTTATCGGTCGTGTCGGAAGCCTTTTTTGGGGTTAGTGCAAGGAACAATGAAACTGAAGTTGTGCGGTGGGCATACTAGAGCATAGGCTATAACTCAATGGGCCATGCCAACATCATTTCATTAGAAAAACAGCGATGATCGGAGTGTACGCCGTCAGGAATACCTGGTCGCAACCGCGAAGTTCAAAACGACACGTTCGAGACTGAGACATCGAGTCCAATGGATTGCTGACATGAAACACTGAGTCAGTCATCGCGATGGCTGCAGAAGTTAATGCCAGCAGCTCACATGCAACGACAGCCGCGTAGCGACAATGGTAGACGATGCGACTATTGAATCATATCGTGACAGCGAGGTGTTTGATGTGAGCGTCCCTTCGTTTCTATTTGTTGACTCGATCAGTCCAAGTCCGCTCAAAATCTGGTCTATATGTGACTTGTAATAGCTAGTAGTTGAATCAAGACTGAGTCGAAAAGGCTGGCTGCGAAAAATCTATGACATGATGGGCAACGTTAAAGGCTGGGATAATGAAAGTAACGTATATATAAATACCATCCGCATCAGACGGTCTCGGTATCCAAAATATCAGTGACTGCATCCAGGTCTGGCTCGGGGAATTTTGCAAGGGGGATCTCTAACCAGGCGGCACCTCGTTTGCGCCCTGGAAGTAGTAATGACCCCGGCGGGGCCTTGTAGGTCATGGTGTACTTTTTGCGAGGAGATTTGTCCTCCTGTTTATTGACGCGACCACAACCTTTGTACGTGCACTGGAAAACGATGTATTTGAGTGAGAAATCTGCGTACGTTCTCTTCCACGGGGTCGGGCACCCGCACTGTGGACATTGCACGGGAAGAGAATTGCCCCACGGACGAGCATCGGAATGAGCCCACGAGTAACGGGTACACAGTAGAGGCACCGTTGGGCCGTCATCCCCAGGTGTCGCAGTCATCAGAATGACATCCGAATGCATGCCCAATCCTGATTGCTCAAGAATATTTGGGAACGCTTCACACAGTGGAAAACCTTCGACAAGGATGAGCTGAGTGAAACTAATCATGAGGTGAGTGGTGAATGGTGGATGGAAATGCTTGGCTGTAAATGCGACTGCAGATGAAAACCGGTATCTGACAACAGAGGCACGCAAACCGCCAAACCCTTCAGGCTCGTTGACGATGGCTCCACAGCCAAAAAAAAATAAGGTTGTGTCCCTTCCGCGTTGAATCACATTTCGCCACGGGTCAAGCAAAGTATCCATGAACTAAGGAGAAGGGTTAAGCATCTGACGGTGATATATAACAATAAACGTACATCAGGGACAGAAGTAGCAACATAGCAGCCGGTTTTTGCTTGTTTGTAACCAAGAAATGGGTCTCCGTTTCCGTCGTTTGTGTGGTTAGTGATAGCAATACATAACACCTCCCAGTCCTGATGCTCCATAACGGCGTTCACGAGGGTCTCACATCACTTACGGTAATCATCAATCTTGCGACTAGTGCCTAGGTCGAACACCACATCGACCAAGTGGAGGCCGCCAAATGGGAAATAGGGCGCGAGATAGCCATGGACAGCATCAATTGGGCTCACAGTTTTCTCACAGCCAATGATTCTGAAGTGTACAATGAGGATGGGGGTCATGGATATCTGGGAACGTTTGGACAATTCCAACTGTCCAGTAATTCGGATGAATGAGGAGAGAACGGGGTTGCCATCCTTAAAAAATCCCTATATAATTATCATAATGAAGCGAAAGACAACGATTATAGGTATGGATACTTACATGGTACGGTGTGACTTCATGTGCCTTCTTGTCCAATGCCGTGTGGCAGTGGAGACAACGAAATGTCACGTCCGACTGCATCAATTCTTGCGAGTATTTGCTTGGAAAGGATATGCACCGCGTGCAAACGACGCGCGGGCAGTCAGGCTCGTCGCACTCGAAAATTGTATGGTCTTCATCCGCCCCATCTTGACATAACATACAGAACTGTAGGAATATATCAGTAAACAACCGGCCAAGTGTCAAGCGTGAGTCACTCACATGATTTGTCCGCACTCCCGAGCCTGAACCAGCGACGTCCGACGAGCGAGCGCGCACCATTTCAGTAGCCTGCCAGGCAGGCACTATGGCCTTTGCAACTCGAAGTGTCTGAGCTTGAGTTTTTGGGGCCAACGTCAGTCGAAGTTTCGTGATCTGGACGCGAGGGGCACTTCCACCCTTTGACTTCGCAGGCGTTTGTTTAGTGCATGCCATAGTAGTCGGGTCTGTCACCACGGTGGGGTTCAGGTTGAGAGAGTCGTAGGTTGGCCCGGGTCGTAGGTAAATACTTAAAATTAAACGTTAAATGACTTATCACAGGCCAGTCGTCACATGACTACTACTAGATGCCGTTTGAAATTCATTTTCTCGAACTCTATAGTACCATGACTTCATCAACCCAGCAGAGACGATGTCTTTTCTGATTACATGAACGTGATGCAGAGGGTATTCTGGGAGAATGTCATGCAATTTCTATATCGACACTTTGTGAGGACGTACTTAGAAAATTCAAGCTACTGACCTCAAGTTTATCCGTACAAGACTGACTATTCCAGGTTCATGTCAAAGATCTCAGAACAATACAACATGCTAATGATCCACCATCTCCCAGCTCGTCCATTTATCCAAATCCCTCTTCTCCACCAAGCTCTACTACATCCCAGCCATCCTCCTCCACGATATGTTCGCTCCTCATCCTCCCGATGTCAGCTTCTTGTACCAAACGCCCCGGCCGTATTCGCACTGCTCGAGCAGGACTGGCAGCAGTAGCTTGAAGGACCTGCGTAAGGTCAAGCGTAAATGAGGGAGGAGTCGGAGGCAAGAGGAGCGGGGTGGTAGAGTGCGACCGACTGTAACGGCATCAATCAGAGAACGCCCAATGTGGATGATAGAATGAATAAACAATGAAACAGGAATAGAGTGCCGAAGGTTTCAAAGGTGAGTAAAAAGCGACTTACCGCCCAAGCTCTCCACTACAACACACAGCCCACAGATTACCCAATGCATCACCTGCCTGGGACAAGGGAATCTCGACACCTTGGGTATGAGTGAGATAACACACGTTATAAAGAAGCATAGCGAAGCCAGTCGTGAACGATTGGTTTTGGGCGTGGGCTGGTGCCTGTTCTGGAGCTTCTGAGTCAGCTAACGATGCGGGTGTGTAGGATGGCAATGAGGTGGGAGAAGATGGTGTCGAGGATGGTTCGGAGGTTAGGTGCATGAAGTGTTTTTTCACCCATCTATGTGTGGAGGAGAGAGAACGTGAAACAGTTCAAGTTAAAAATATGGTAGGTGACAAGAGGAGACACACTTTGCCCATGATTCACCCCCTTGTCCTGCCCCAATCCAAGGCATACCAACCCCGAGTTTTCTGCAAGACCACGAAACTCCGAAAGGTAGTTTGATACCTAGGTGGAAAGTAAGGAGTCCCAGAAAGTGAATAGTGTCAGTTATTACGGCGTTGATATGATCAGGTGGGTATCCTGTGGTACAACCTGCGTGATCAAATTCTTGACGTAGTAAGCACTTGCAACGTACGTCTAACATCTCCCGGTACTGGAAGAACTAGTCCACCGATAGTCCATTCTCCTTTTGCGCCTGGTCGTCCACCAACTGCGGGTCGACCGCCGACTTCGACAACATGAAAGACTTCTACTAGCTCCTGTACGAGGCCCGATCGTGCTCTAGCGATAGTTTGACTCAGTACAGAGAGTTCCTGAGACTCCTTGGAAAGTGTTTGCGATTGAGGCAGAAAGAGGCGTGCAGCGTTAAGTGTGCGTCTGCGCTGAGCAAGGGCCTCTCGAAGAGTACGGAGACGGTCGCGCTCTATATTATGTTAGAACATCACACGCGAACAAGGGTATTTACAGGCACGTACTGCTCTCACAGTCTCTTCTTACTTTGGCAAGGCCATCAACTAACTGCTCGAGGCTGCGATTTGCTCGTGCAATCTCTGCACGAGTTTGGAGGTGACTAGATTCAATAGACTTGAATGCACAAAATGCACGAGCAACGTGTTCGTCTCTGTCGGAGGAAAAATGGTGAGTTTGAAGGCGGAAATCACGTAGACTATATGCAAGGTTAAGGTGGGTTGCGACAAGTGTTTTCAAGTTGCTTACTGGTTTTTGAGACAGATTGCGCAATAGTACTACTGATGTTTGTCTCAACTCTCAGTCAACGGTTGCCAGTTGGTGATTTGTAATCACGTGACTTCGGAACGGGCTTACTGTGACATGGGCTCTATAATACTTAGTAGGACCAGGACTCCATGACTGTCTGGGTGTTTACAGCTGGCGGAAGGAGATTTGGGCTACCAGTAGATCAATGTTTGACTACCAAACACCGTTACATATTGACCGGTACGTCAAGTAATACTAGTTGACCGCAGTGACTCGGTAACAAAAAGAACAATGATGGCATCAGATGTAAGGTTACTATCACAAATTTCCGAGTCAAGTTGGTCACCCACGGTGTCAAGCCATCAGATTCAGAGTCAGGCTCTCTTTCAAAATCGCATGAGGTATCAATATCATATCATTACTAATTATGAACGAGGAAGACTGCTGGAGTTAAGTTAGTGCGTGCAGACCAGCCAATAGATTAGTACGTCACCATGCACAAGTCATCACTGACTTTCTCAAAACGAGAGGTCGTCAGTCTCTTCCTCGACTTCCTCTCCGAGGTCATCGAACCCATCGTCAGACTCTCCTTCATCATCTTCATCTTCATCATCCTCAATTTCTTCGTCTTCCGACTCCTCATCAGCAAGGTCGACATCCATCTGTTGTTCATCACCATCATGCACTTCCTGACCCTCATCGTCGCCTCCCCCTTCATCGATATCCACAGCTTCCATCGGTACTGATGACTGGACGCCAAAACAATCTCTGACAATCTGCCGTAACGCAACTGGGTGTCCTACACCCAAGTCAGTATAACGCAAAAACATGTCACGATCAACAAAGCTGGTCCTAACAGGTAAGTCATTCGCCCACATGAAGACACACTACACTCACATCCCGACATAATACACTTCCCAGTCATCTAGTTCCCCAATACGACGGGCCAATGACTTTCCGTGGCGAAGTGAGCTCACACCGCGCCCGGAAGTGAATGCTGGAATCAAGTGAGTTCCTCGAATCACCTGGCCTGGATCAAGAAAGCCGAACGCGTCATAGTCTGACTCCTCTACAAACACCACTTTAGGAAGGCGAGCGCACCGCATGCCAGACTGATACGATACTAAGGGGGCGAGCCATCTAACGTGAAGGACTTCGAGGTGCTCAAGTTTCTTGGCTTGACTGCCCCCTTGGAGCCACGTATCCACATGATAGATACCTATTACACGGGCGTACCAGTAAGGGTGGCTGGGAGTGCTTTCTCCTGAAAGCACCATCACGTCGGCATGTGTCCTGGGGCTGATAGTATCGTATTCGCCCCTCATGTCGTAAGTGATATAATGTACTTGCATCGTCTGGGCCGAGTAGATCGTATTGTTCGGAATAATGACTGTATTGCATTCCTCGTCTGTGAACGCGTGGTCACAATGACTGATGTCCAATTTCTTCAGCCTATACAAAATGTGATCCTTCAGCCTCGGAATGAAGTTCTAAAAGCTGTCGTAAGCACCAAACTAGGCTAAAGAGGTGATGCTACTTATACCTCGATAGCTGGGTCACCGTCATTTTCCTGGAGTATTGTGAACAACGAAACTGGATTGTTTCCGCTGGTTGAGATAGAATGATGGTCCTTAGACACCGATGAAGCAGGAGAGTCGACTGGAGATCCATTACTTGAGGAGATATTACCCGCTGCTTCTGCGACTCGCCGTAACACACGGCGTCTGCGCTCGTGCTTCGCCAGCTGTGCCGGAGTGTCCAGTTTGCTAGTCAGGGGATAGAATGCTTTTAGGGCTCTGTGCGCCAGCTCTCCCTAGCCAATAACATAGCTTCAGACGTATCCTTGAGAGCTGTAGAAAGAATAGGCTTACAATTTGTGTAGTGAAAGAATCTGTAGTCCCGAAGAGCTTAATCGTTTGCACGTAATCACCCATTGAGTGAAACTTATAGGTGCTTAAGTTGAACCTTTTCACCCTTGGTCCACTTGATTCGGAAGACGTATTAGTGACTCCAGCACGTTGGGCAAACCTTCGTTGGCGGGCAGACTTCTCTTTTTGTAACTCCACCGTATGAAAGGCAGCGCACGTAACGTCGCGGAACTTCCGTAATTGCCTCGAGAGATTCTTGAACGTTTCGTCGAGGAATCTAAGACTTGAGTCCGAATGAGTTCTTAGCTTGGCCAGGGCATGCCACTGTGCGAATCTATATAAAAGAGACTGCACAACCGCGTCATGAGGGGCAGGAAACAGGCCTTCAAACACAGGTATTGCGCACTAAACAAGGGTGTCAGTGAGCTCGTAGATAACTTGAACTGTAAAGTAAAGGGGCAGAAACCTGCAAGATGTCTTCAAAGTCCCGAGCGGCCAGTCTCTTCATCTCGGACGTGTTATTCGCAAACATTCGAATTACCCCACTACCAAAAGTTGGAACCTGACGAAATCTGTGACGTGATATCATTTGCTTCTTATTATGCGGTAGCAGCATTATACCTCACGTACCTGGAATCTAGGGTTGCGACTAGCTTCTCTCCTGCTGGTATTGCATAAAGAATCCTGACGAGGTGAGTGAACAGTGCCTTCCAGGTACCCAACTCGCACTCGTGCATAAAGTCCACAACAAGCATACAAAATGTGTCAAGGCCAAGCCTAGCCAGCTTCTGGACAAATGTATTCTTTTGGTGCTAGTCAGAGCCAGCACTACAGAGCGAGCGATGGAGAAATCATCCTTACTAGCACAGGTACCCATGAGCCTTCTCCGAGCATTTCTTCAACCTTCGTGCCGTCTACAGTATTTCCCCGATTATAAATATACTCTCGTGCCTTGATGATGTTGGTCTCGACGTAGGCTCGAAAATTATACATACGGCTTTTCATATCTTTGTAGAGGCCCAGAGAAGCAAACATGCTTTTCGGTGTGAGACATCGCGGGCAGGGACATGAGCCCATGTCTTTTATAGTAGCAATTAAAACCCTGAGACACGTTGAGTGATGGCCTTACTATTAAGACTCGGACAGAACGCACTTTTCGGGATAATCAGCTGAGTATGTGAATATGCGAGGAAAAATCCTGCGAAACACGCCGTCGGCACATTTTAATACAATGCCATGGCGGTATGCATGAAGAAACTCTTTATCTAGCAAAGTATCCCAGCAGGCGTGAAATAACTCGCGTCGACAGTGGGTGTAAAGGGCAGCCATGCCACTTTTCGATATCCGAGGCAAGTTGCTCAGAACATCCTTGACCTTGTCGGGCAACTGACGCGCAAACATGAAAGTGACGCTTAGAGGCACAGTAGGAAAACTTACCGACGGCAAAAATGCCACAAGGTGACATGCACCTGACTTCGGTGCAGAACGAGCATACTTTGTCAGATTTCCGAAGTACATGTAGAGGGGCCAGGCCTTTGCCGTTCCAAAATTTGCAAGATGTGTGGCGTCCGAAAAAAACATAAGACCAGCAACCACCCGTTCCAATGTACATCCGGGCTCCCTTGGGAGCTTCTGCACCTCGTCTTGGGCATCTAGCCAAGAATCAGAAGTATATAACTCGTCGTATATATGCTCTTGATGATTGTCCAATGGATCCTTCCATAGACGCTTGAAAGGAGAAAGATGAAATGCACCTGCCTGGATGTCCGTGAAAGCCAACCGAATTACTTCGACAAGAGGGCGAAAATGAAATCCTGAAACAGAAAAAGGTCTAGCTTCGTCCTCCTTCAATTTCGTAGGAATCTGGATAGTAACACTGGCCTCCATCCAGTCATCCAGAAATCTGATTTTCTTCCCTGCGGGATCATTGTCCAACTCACGTAAATTCTTCCTCACCGAGAAGTCCTCTAAGTCCTTCGTGGTAAAATCCTCGGCTAGCATTACTTCTTTGACGAGACGGGAAATTTCGGTCTCAGATTTTTGATTGCTGCCAGAATTCATCCAAGATATGAGTCGATAAATCGTCATATTAGGGAAAGGGTAGGGGGGTGGAAGGACACCAGGTGAATCACTCTCCTGCGCGACTGTTGGACATGTTGTTGAAAGTAGCGAGGACGGGACAAACTTATCTGGCTCGAAGGATGGGCGACGAGGATAGAGCCGGCAAAGTCCAAGACAATTAAAGCCAGTCTGTAGTGTATCTCGTAACGTCAGAAGAACTCTCCGAATTCTAGATTCGGATGGGTCTGCATTTTCCGAGTGATTCACATCCTCATCAGAGATAGGAACATCGTCAAAATGTCTAGGTATTCGCCCTAGCTGCGGCGGGTACGAAGGTGTTACTGAGTGGAAAACAGGACAAGTAAGTTGTCATCCGACTTGGGCCCGAAAAGTCTAACGACTTGGACATACCCAACTTAGAAGTGTTGGTCTGACCGGATGTATTGTCGAGACAATCATCACTGGTATGATCAAGCAGCTGCGGCTGCGGCTCCGAGGGATGCCGCTGGAAGTAGTCAAGATCCGCTGCGCCGGGAGACCATGACATGCCAGCCCGCCGAGTGATGGTGTTGAAGTACCCACTTGATCATCTACACAGAGCAATAGGTTTGGAGCGGTTCAGCTTCTCCACATGCTGGATAGGTGCTATTTGCTACAGGTATGTGGCGATTGAGCAACCATTTATGAGACTCGGTGAACTCGTTCAAGTTGTAAGAAAGACTCCTCACCGAACTTGAAGATCTCATGCCAGCTGAACATGGTATCGAAGTCCACACTGCGGCTGGTTGCCGTAGACTCATAGCTCTAGCTGCCTGTTTCGCCCTGTCTTGTCTTTGCTGGCTGGCTAGAACTCTGGAATTGAGGTGAAATCGACATGTGGCACGATGCCTACTAAGCCCTCGAGCATCAGTGGTTGCTTTCTCCCAGGAGCAGCCTGGAGCATTGCAGGATGTAACCATCAGGCTAGCCAGATGATAAATAAAAAGAAAGAATGGAACAAGCCATAAAAATCCGAGTTTGCGCATTCGGTGAGGGTGACTCTCAGACGCCTAGCACGACCGCATCAATAAGGAGCAGTAGCGCCCAAAATCAAAATTTCCAACTTTTCGGATTCTAGCCGCAGTGCTAGCCTAACTCAGTAACACCATCGGACTGGCCAAAGTCTTTGGTTGAAGTTCGTAGTGATGATAGTACTAGTACTGATACATCATCATTGTTCGCCTGTTCAACTAGTACTAGTACATGATGCTCAAGAAACAGAAACAGTACTTGACGTCCTGGTCAATACGTGACGGTGCCGCTTGGCGCTAGTTAAATATTGATCTACTAGTGACTCAGTGAGAACTTGGACCATGCCAATATACATGCGCGCCAACCTTGAATGGTAAGATGGAACACAACACCCCATAATGATATAAATGCTAGGTATTTTATTGTCCTGTATGCAACGCGATGAGTATTTGCACAACACTGAGTATCACAAATTGCCTCACCTCAGGCCACTGTGACAGCACTGAAATTGCTCGCATCTGCGAGTATGCTGTCCAGGCATGCGTCCAAGCGATATTTAGCATCTTCCGAGTCAGTGTCATCCAAAGGCAACTTCCGTTCAGAGCCAACCTCCTCCATAAAATCAAGTTGCAGGTCTGCGATTTGGGTAGCGATGAGATCGTGGCTATATGCAGCGAGGCTGAAGTCTGCATCGTCTTCGAGCTGCTCCATGGATCGTCTGACCAACATCCTTTCGAGGAATGAAGCCTCTGCTTTGCTCTCGGCATATTGTTGAGCAGAATCCCTTAGAATGCTTTGAAGAAGTATGGCATGTTTTTCAGCTGATTCGAGCTCCCACGCTGTTGCGAGAGCCCGCAAATGCTTGCTTTCGGCGTCAGCTCGCTTTGCGGCGATAGCTGAGTGGACGGTCGCGTCGGGCATGCTCCTCAGGCCTCTTTTAATCAGCTCTTCGCCCTGTCACAATGCTTATCAATGACATGACCTGCAGTATCTGAGAGGAGGGTAATACCTGACGGACGTCTACCAGACTAACATCAGCCTCATCACGCTTCAACATGTTTTTCATCATAAAACGGTGTTCCAGTGCAGTTGGAACATGCCCCCCTCGCTGATAAGGCCTGAACTTTCGGCTAGCGCGTTTTGCATAAAGTGACAGATGTTGTGATACAGGGGGGAGGCCATTTGGAAGGGATTGAGTTGGAAGAACTGCAGCACCATGAAGGGATTCTTCAGATGATTGCTTATTGAAGCCCGTGGGTTCCAATACCCAACTATGATCATCATAAGGGTGCTTGGTGGAATCATGATGAGTGTCGTCCTGCACAGATCGCTTAGTGAAAACTTCAGTAGGTAGCTCCATCGCACAATGATGAAATTTAGAGGCCCCAGCGGGAGAAACAGTAATAACAGGAGAAGAGACCATGCTGTGGTATGCTTGTCACGGATCTGAGCCACTGGCAGTAGGGACTCTATTAACCTGATATCATATTAGTGTGAGAGCTTTGGAGTTTTAACGACTCCAGCATGTCCTCGAAGTTCACACAGATACAGTGACCTGTAGTGACATATAAGGTATCAACAAACATTCCCAGTTCGGTATCACTGCCCCGTATCTTCGTACTTTCAAATCTTCAGATGCGCCGCAGCTGAGCTGCGATACAAGGCCCGCTGATTAACAACCTGACAGAAATTTACAGACTCATGTTGAATCCTCGACACTTTGGCGCTGAGAGCAACTCACGATCACCAGTCTTCGTGTCGAATGTCGCATGTTGGTTATCACCAGTCTTCGTGTCGAATGTCGCATGTTGGTTATCACTAACTGCAGCACGTCAAACGAGGCTGACTCGGCGAGCTCTGCATCGATCCACTCCTTCCTTCGCATCTCCGAGTATCCTCGACACTTTGGTGCCAAGAGCAACTCACGATCACCAGTCTTCGTGTCGAATGTCGCATGTTGGTTATCACTGACTGCAGCACATCGAACGAGGCTGACTCGGCGAGCTCTGCATCGGTCCACTCCTTCCTTCGCATCTCCGAGTATCCTCGACACTTTGGTGCCAAGAGCAACTCACGATCACCAGTCTTCGTGTCGAATGTCGCATGTTGGTTATCACTGACTGCAGCACATCGAACGAGGCTGACTCGGCGAGCTCTGCATCGGTCCACTCCTTCCTTCGCATCTCCGAGTATCCTCGACACTTTGGTGCCGAGAGCAACTCATGATCACCAGTCTTCGTATCGAATGTCGCATGTTGGTTATCACTAACTGCAGCACGTCGAACGAGGCTGACTCGAGTTCTGCATTGGCCCACTCCTTCCTTCGCATCCTTGACACTTTGGCGCTGAGAGCACCTCACAGTCATCAGTCTTTGTATTGAATGTTGCATGTTGGTTATCATCAACTGCAGCACGTCGAACAAGGCTGACTCGAGGTTTCCTTCTCTCTTGTTCTACTATAGACTCAGGAGCTCCGTCCTCCATTGCCATCAACGGCTATACATACACATCGCACCTTTCTTGCACAATAATAATCGCATTGATATGACGCACATAGACTATTCGAGAGCTTGATTATTTTCCTTCTCGATGTCATCAGCTCGCGCCCTCCTTTTCCCTTTAGCCCTCCTTCTCGCCTTCGCACGTTCCTCTTTCATGTGAGCTTCACAGACACAAGTATGAAATGTAAATGCGGCACCCTCCGTCATGCCAACCTTCTCGACATAAAATCTACTGCTAAAATGTGCTGCAGTCGGCAAATACAATATGCCGTGCTCCTTCAATGGATTCACGTAGCGGGGAAAATCCATTGCAGGGTAGCGATAATGAATGGTCATAAGGATGTTGTCAATGTCTTGCGGTGGTTCGTCATTGTCAGTTTCTTCATCACTTTCCGTGTAGAGTGCAAATGTCCTTTTGAGTGGTTGAGGAGTCATAGGGTCATTACTTTGCTGTTTCGAAAGCGCGCCGTTGGAAGTCCACATGTCATCGATGGCAGACGAGAGGTGAACATGATTATGGATGATGGGCGATACGAGCTCGGTTGGGACACGTTGAAGCGACACAGTTCTTGCCTTGCGTGTCTTGCGAATGTCATCGAAATGGGGTGTGTTGGGTAGACTAATACAGGTGTTGTCTGGATCTCGAGTGTCGTGCTAATTGTTTCAGATAGTCATGTGATACGTTTGGAGGCATATAAGCGTCACATACCAGATATTTTGCCCACTCCTGGAGGTCTTGGGTGCATATCGGATAGTGTGGAGTGTTTGGCTGCGACACATCCACCCAACAAAATGTGTTCTCTAAATTTCCGAGCTGATGCTCGGAGCAACACAATTTTCTTTTCACATTTTCGAGTTCCTTCACATATAGCAGGAGCGAAGGGTCAGACTTGGACACCATGCCTGCCTGTAATTTTATTGGCTTTCCTTTTAGTACAGGCATCTACGGCAAGTTACTGTTATACCATTATTTTTTAATTAGAAAAATACTTACCGTATTGACAATGTCAATGACAATTTTCTTCTTTTCCGTCCGGACACCTGCTCAGCCCTCGCAGTCTTGAAAGCGCTGGAGATATCCTGCGAAGTCAAAAGGCGATGTGGCGGGTCTGTGCGGCAGGCTGTAGACAAGCACCAGCCCAAGTGCTCGTAGGTCTTTGGAAGGTCCATTACAGCCTTCATAGAGTCCAATATATCCAACGGATGGTCTGACTCGGTGTAAAAATAGCCGACATAGGTTGTCAATTTGTTTTTGTCCGTTGTGTTCAACAGCACACGGAACTCGACTAGTACAACGTGAGTATCTTGCATAAGCCACCTAAGAAGACTGTCATAATTACTTTTCTCGAAAGCCTGAGGCTGCGGCTCGGGTCCTTGGTGGCATTCGGGAACTTGATTGATCTGTTCGTCATCGACTTCGGGCAGATTTTTACGGGAACCAAGGAGATAGGCAGTGGTTTGAAGACGAGTTCGTCGGCGAGGCGATGGTATAGAATCGATAATATTGTTAATATCATGCGAGTAATTGCTACGGTCATGAGTACTCTGAGCGGGGAAGAGAATGTTGTGCATTACTATGCACCAATGTTATGTAGACTTACTTTTCTCCGCCGAGTCACCCAGCTTTTATATCATTCTACTAGTTGGGGTGTTACGGTTATAATGCAACTCGACCGAATAGTCCGCCATCATGATGGCGATCATACTATCGATGCTGTCACTATTAGGGCAACAGGTAACTCGCCAGCCTGAGTGACTCAAGTATTCCAGGACTCACCCAGAGAGGTTGTGACTAGTATGGGTACCGGTAGCCGCAGCATCTGCCTCCAAACTCAAAAATGTTGCTATCCCTCCGAAGAGGACCACTGACGATGATCACCGACTCTCACTGAGCTACCAACATTGAACATTAAATCATGCTTTCTGAAAGTTCGAGTCAGGGTACAACGTGAAATAATACGGATCAGCCTTCTATGACACACCAATGTTTGAGTTCACCGGCGACAAACCAGGCCAGAACTCAGTTTGCTTTTGGAAGTTTCTGGCATTCTAATAAGGTAAATAAGTGCGTCAAGCTCCTTCTGCATCGCGGCTGTGTCGAAGAAGTTAGGGTCACCCCGTCTGAGATCCGATTAGTACTTGCGTGCAAATTCAAATATCTATCTATACGTACTACATAACCCGAACTCACACAAGCTTTATCGGACTTTATCGCAGCTCTGGAAGTATTAGACTAAGAGATCGGAGGAGGTAATGTGAGTCCAGCTTCTAGAGTCAATGGCATAGTTTACGAGGTTGGGCTGGACTGAGTGTTAGCTCGGGGTGGGACGCAAGCAGGTGGAGTCGCTGGGAGGGCGGGAACCAGCTGCTTACGAGTTCGATTGTGCGCTGACTCCGAATGAACGTTTGAATATTAAAATTTGAATTTATATTGCGAAGGACCAATGATATGATATACGCGAACAAGTGTAACGGGAACGGACTGCAAGGGGAACCCAGGGCCAGACAGGGCCAGACCTCCCGGGCCGGAACGGGAGGCTACGGCTCTATCTATCGAGGACGGACTAATAACGACGCGCGCGTGCGCGCAGTGGGAACTCCGAGCACCTTATAAGATAATTTCACAACTTCCTAAATAAGCTTGAAACATAGTACCAAATGGATACACATGTATGTAAAGTCATTGTAATGTTGAGTAATGAGACCGGTCACAAGATGGAGTTGTTAGTAAATAGTAGCGATGTAATTGCATCTAGCTGCGATGGGCTCAGAGCATTCAACATCGACACATAGTGGTCGTGGTGAGTACGGTTGATCTCTGGTAAAAATAAGCTTGGGATATATCTCCCTGTGCAGTGTTCCTGCAGCGCCCACCGGCCGAAAGTAGCCGTTATTGCGAGTAACGGCTTGACGTTGAGACCCCCAATATATCGGTGATATTGGTACTCACTGTCGCGTAAGAGGTACGATACTATCGCCAAGATGGCATGATTGGTGAAGGCGATGGAGACATCAACTCCTTCGATCTAAAAAACGATAGTGTGAGTGGATGAGCTGAGAGTCCAATTCATGACATACGGATACTCGACCGTACAGGAATGCATCATTCTCCATCAGACATCGGACTCGCGTCGCGCGCTTGTTGACATGCGAGACATCCAATGTCACGGCATAGTCAAACGCGAGGTCATACAAATGATATACGAACAACCTTACCACCACCTTCATCTCATCGAGTACACCCATGAGCACGGGCTCCAGCTTCGATATCCGAAATTTCTCGTCGTTGTGTAGTTTATCCAATGCCCATTGCTGAAGCGCTCCTGCCTCCAATCAGTTCCACACCGGTGAATATTTAAATTTTCGAAAAACTTACCATCGGTCTGCTGATCGGTCACGGCGCTCCAGGAAGAATATATCGTTTCATTCATAGAATCGGGCGAGGGTAATAATGATTGACCGAAGGCAGTGCTTTTCATCTTTTCATTGCACTGATCCAACAGTTCTGGAATACCGTATTCTGGAATACCGTATGGGATAAGTTTCAGTCCTGGCGCAGATGAACGTTTGGTTGCGGTGCTTTTGGTTGTGATGAGTTTTGTGTTCCGACGGGAAGAGCGATTCGACCTGCTCGATTCCCGGGGAACTTGTACGCGGTGTTGGGAGGAAGCTACAATGTCCGAATGACTGACAATGTCATCAAAGGCATCGACGAATTGAGTTCCGCTGGGTATAGCCGACGTTGACCCCGAGTCACGGTGATCCAACGAGGTTCGTTGCGACATCACATGACTCGTGGCCACATTCTCGACCGGGATGGCAGTCTGTTGCTGCGGCCACTGCATTGATGAAGTTGGGTACACTCATCACATGACTCGTGGCCGCACTCACGACCGGGATGGCAGTCTGTTGCTGCGGCCACGCATTGATGAAGTTGGGTACACTAAGGTCGGAGAACCGATAAGGTATTGGATGGGCAAGCTGGTCCTGCAGCAATTGCCCACCAGACTGTGGACGGTGATCGGCGTGTGGTGTAATATCAGTATCATGATGATGGCTACTCAGAGGCTGGAGTTCGGAGTGATGGTAGCTTGCCTGGTGGCCGCCATCCAGCACATGGCCACTTGAATGGGCAAGCTGGTCTTGCAGCAAGTGCCCACCAGACTGTGGATGCTGATCGGCGTGTGCTGCAATAGCAGCATCATGATGATGGCTACTAGGCTGGGGTTCGGAGTGATGGTAGTATGCCTGGTGGCCGCCACCCAGCACGGCTGGATGGCCACCATCTTCCCAGTATTGCAGCTGCGAAGTCCATGACGGTCCATCGTGATGACTGGCAGCTCGAGTTGACGGACCTGCTAGCACTGGCAGTGTCACAGTGGTAGCATCATGATCCTGGGGCTGCGATAGGACCCACGACGACTCCAAGTCCTGATGTTGGGAACCACTGGTGCGATGGTCATGTGCAAGTTGATAGTGAAAATGGAAGTCGAATGATTCCAAGCAACTTGAGGGATCGGGAGCCATGTATTGTTCAAGTTCATCGCCCTGCGATTGAGGCTGATCGCCCCAACCTGACATTGTTGGTAGCGAGCAAGAGGGAAAATGTAATAGAAGTTACTCATCTGCAAATTTAAGTAATCTTCGAGGCACGGCACCAAACTCGAGGACGCGGCACACGTGAAGACTGAATTGATTTGACCGCAAAGTACATAATGTAAGATACTTATGTTTACGGCTTACGCATAAATGGTAGGCCAGACGTTATTACATAATATTTATACAAAGACAAGCCGCGCTTATATGAATATCCGCATCTAGATTCTGGACGCTTAACATTTGCATTTCTTAAACCTCTCAGGCTACCCACGGTCAACGTTCAATGCTGTGTTCAATATCGTCCATTCAAGTGCTTTCAAGGCTTGCTATCCGATTGAGGCCTTGTCCGAGTCAATAGAGGTATGTAATAGGAATACAACAACATTTTTACATTTTCTGACACGGTTCGTAGGCACCCTGTGTTCCTTGGTAGTAATCCTTGCAGAACTTCGCTCCCATTCGCCATCTCACCGTGTTTGAGATGCACTATGCTATAAAGTAAATCATTACCTGCGGTGTTGCAACTGGTCTTGTACTAATTCGTCTTGACATATAGACCTCTTCTATGTGGCTCAGCGAATATAACCGTGATGGGGGCTACTCGTCGTGCAGCGTCCCGCCCCAGGCCCAGGATATCTGCACGAGTCCGTGACTCGGATACTGATACACCCGTCAAAATATCGGCCGCGACGTTGCACCAGCGTTTCATGGGTCTCTCCTAGATGATTGAAGGGTGGATGGAAAACGCGATGTTGGTATAATGTCGCTCGCATTTCGCGGTTCGCTGATGCGTATCTGTAGATATCGTTAATATGCATTGCAAGAAGGTTGCTACTGATCAGGCTCGATTCTGACAACCAGAGGCTGTGGATGCACGTTGCTCGTCAGCTTGTCGAATGTTATCACAGGGGAAACGTGGTGAGTCGTCTTTCGTTCATGTAGATCACCTCACAGATATTCTCATGCAGGATAATCATACTCATGGCATGCGAGTCGACGAGGACCGTGTACCAGCCTTCGCGATGTACAAGATCGCTTTCTTAGCATCCTTACATCAGTTGGCAGTGGAGTCTGATGTCTCACAGCCTGCTGTCGAAGGTCTTCGTCTCGTCACACAAGCCAGAGCTCCTGTCAACCATGACCTCGCTGTTCAGTGATATTTTGACGTACTCACTGGCTTCTAGGTGCTGGTATCGGCGTGGAGTCCATCTTTTTAAGTTATTTGATCCTTTTCAATTACGAAGTGCCCATGTGTGAGTTTACTTACCACACGTGCTTAACGCTTGATTTTGACATCTTCACTAGCAAGTTCGCAAGACCGTTCGAACTTTGAAACTCGAATGTTCCGATGGCAGGTCGGATTTTAGACTCGGACTCGAGAATGCACCAGGTCACGTGAGTACCAGTGAAGGAGAGCAAAAATGTCGTCAATGAATGAGTTTTTCTAGAATACATTAGGCGTGTTTACCGACAGCCAAACAATTATCAACCCACAACCCAGTAATAATGAAGACCTGCTCTTTTTTCGCTAACGCGATACCATGTCTGCAGAACCTCCCATGACTTCCCTTGCTCTCACTTCACCAAATGGAATGATGAATAATCATTCCAATGCTCAACTCGCACATTTACTTCAGAACAGTTACTGCGACAATGACAGACTGACGAAAGAACTCGGAAACACCAAAAACGAATTAAAAAAAGTAGAGCGTTTACTAGCAGAATTTCAAGCTGCGACCGTCAACGGTGCTCCTCTCTCGGGCAAGGCTCGTCGTGTCATTAAAGAAGCTGAGGCCCGTGTGGCCCATGCCAGTAGACAAAGAGACGAAGCAGAAGCACGCAGACGCGTTCTCGAATCTTACAGAGAACTTGTCCTGAGTCTCGTCTCAACTCAAAACCAGCATGATCACAGCCCTTATTCCGCCAATCCTAGTATCACTGTAAAACCTCCACCACGCTCACACATCCGATCTCATCATAGTTACACCTCCTCGTCACTAAGTTCCGCTGCCCTCTCTCCAGGTCCACTTGCTCCACCATCTACCCGTGGCGTCCGTCCTCGCTTAGGCAGCTTCGATGAACCTTATCTCATCGCACAACCCCAGTCTCCTTCCAAACAACCACGTAACGAACGTGGTGAATATGACCACAGGCCCCGTCTCCCGGTGAGTTTCCTCTCTCACCACCTTTCTATCTCCTCGCACTCACAGGTCCATTATATGATACAGGCTGGCGAGCTCGGGACCTATCAAACCTATACGACCCTCCCTCCCCGCCTGCGATCGCTACTCTACAAACTACAAGCTACGGCATCTTTCCACTCCGACCCCAACTCGAATCCAGACGCGGAGTTGGGAGAAGCAGCTGATGCTGTTGCTGACCACCGCAGTGCGTCTTTGACTGGCATAAAGGAGGACATGGAAGTTGGGCAGTAAGCACATGTCCATTACAGCGGAGGCCAACTTAAAAAAACTCTTGACTGCTCTAGGCAACAGCGAGAAAATAAATGCTGATATTCCTGCGCGTTGATGTGGCTTGCGCTTCCTCAATTGGTGTCCTTACTCGTGGACTTCGCTGCCTTGCTATCTCTCGTCTTAGACCTCCGGTGATTTCGCTATTGATGATCGTCCAGTCAAATCTCTTTCTATCACCTAATGCAAACCATCCAATCGGATTACCTCCCATGTTTTTGTCTATGATCGTCTCGCTGTCTGCAATTGTTGTCCCTGTGCTCTTTTATGTTTCATTTTTTGTATTTTTCTCCTTCTGTTTGATGCGGTTCATCCCCATCATTTCATGCTACCTGTATCAATTCAACTAATGCGAGTTCGTGTCGAGTCGATCAGTTCGCGCCAAGCCAACAGGTCTGTGCTTCGTCGACGCCGCGCATCACACATCGAGCACCCATAGAGCCAGCAGCTCATACTAGCTTATACCAGTCCCCTTCGCATGGAAACATCCTCACCTGGAACTACAATCCAACATCAAGTTGAGAACCAGGTACCCGCTTTAGCGAATCCAACCTCAAACTCGAGCAGAAACCGTCGTGGCAATCATCGCCCCAGAAGTCACATTCCTTCAGCGAATGCAGCCAGTTCGATTGTCGTAGTTGCTCCGGAGACAGATGGTACAGGCAGCAGGAAGCCTCGCCGAAACTTTGATCAGAGCCGATCTCATGATCACGAGCAGGGAAGCTCAAATTGGCGTAGACCACCTGGTGCTTCCCAGACCACAACTGACTCTAGCTCTGTTTCAAGTGAAACAGGTGATGGAAATGCACGGTCAAGGAAGAATCGCTCTCCCAGACGTCCCCAGGGGGCCACCACTATGAATGAACCCAATGTCACTGATTCTCAACTCCAACCGCAGTCGAAGCGTCCATCCCGGCGTTCCAAATTCAATCCGTCACTTTCTGAACCGATACTATTGACTGGTGACTCAAAACCTGAAGTTGAAGCCCATCTCTCACAGAAAGCTTCTTTGCTGCTCAAGAAAGCCTCCAAGATATGGTGGACGATAGGTTACGGTTCGATTTGCCGATTTGCCGTGATAAATTTTGAAGTCCGATCGATGTTTGTTCTGCGTCCCCAGAAATTTTATTAGAGAACGCGTATCTATATCTATATTTATTTTAACCAACATGCAAAGGATGCAATGCAGTCTCTTCGACCCTTACTACTCATGCCCTCAGCACCCATCCTTATCCTGACTGCCCAATTTGCTTCAACCCCATTCGTCCAGAACAGCCTACCTGGTCCTGCTCTTCTTCAGATCTCTTCGAAAACCTCCAATGCTGTTGGACTACATTTCACCTGAAGTGCATTCGGGCTTGGGCTTCCAAAAGCGTCAAAGACCTTCAAGATGCATGGCGTGCCCGTGGCGAGGAACGTACCGGCGAATGGAGATGTCGCGGTTGTCAAGCCAAACGTGAATCTGTACCATCCAGCTATCGGCAAGTGCTACTTATCTATCTGTATCGTGTACTTACATTTTATCATCAGGTGCTTTTGTCATCGCATCACAGATCCATACCCTCTCGCCTTGTCACCCCACATAGCTGTGCACATCCTTGCTCCCGCGTACGTATTTCTGCTTGTGGCCACGGCTGTCCTCTTCCCTGTCCACCGTGCGCTGTTACCGTCCGGAAGGGCTGTTGGTGTGGATGCCAAGTCTCAACGGCTCGTTGCTCTTCCCTGGCATCTCCAAATGCCACCACTGGCATTTCCTGTGGCGTCATTTGTAGTAAACCCTTGTTGTGGGAATCCTCAGCATACATGTGCTCAGGTTTGCCACCCCGGTGAGTGCAAGCCATGTGTCGTGGCTGAAATCGTCGAGGCGCGTGTGGGGTGTGTCTGCAGAGTGTTTATGAAGATGTAAGCTGTCTTTTTTATTGATCATCGTTGTGTTTTGACCTGACGTTCGAATAGCTTATATGTCCGTGTGACCGGACAGCTTTGGAGCCTCCAATTCCATCTGGTACGACGATGACTTGCAGTTATCCGTGCGCAAGGCCTTCACCTCCACGTGGCCATTTGCGCGTCCCTCATGCGTGTCATGAGGGCATCATCATTGCTGGTGCGGATCCAAGCGAACCAGTGGAAGCATCTCCTTGCCCACCGTGTCCTTTCCTCACCAGCAAACAGTGTGCGTGCGGAAAGAAGATGGTGGATAATGTCAGGTGTGCGCAGGAGCGGGTGAGTTGTGGTACGGTATGCGGAAAGTGAGTTTTGTGTTTGTCTGACAGTGATCATATCGATTAACTTCACTATTGCTTCACAGATTGCTAACATGCGGTTTCCATCATTGCGAACGCTTGTGCCATGCAGACGACTGTGGAACGTGTGCTGCTGTATGTGGCAAGTCTCGCAAATCATGGTTAGTTCTTCTATTCTCCCCACTTCAACTGATATAAATTTCTCCTTTAATCTAGCTTGCCGTGCACCCAACTATGCCACGCCCCAGCAGCATGCCCTGAAACTGAGGCCTGTCTCGCGCTCATCACTCTCACTTGTCCCTGCGGCCTCCTCCGCTCCTCTATCCCATGCCCCCAAGGAAATTCAACCGCTCAGCTCAAATGCACTGGTGAATGCGCAATCAAGAAACGCAATGCGCGACTTGCAGACGCTCTTGGCATCAGTCCCGAGAAGCGCGAGGGTTTACAGGCCAAGGTCACTTACAATGATGACCTAGTGACTTTCACGAGAGCGAACAGTAAGTATGTGGGGCTAGTGGAGAAGACGTTTGCAGAGTGAGTGATGGTATTTCTCATGAATCTGATGCACTTTCTCACAGTTGGCCCTTCAGTTTGACAGCGCTTCTCTTCTACATCCTCGTCTCCAACTTTCGTAGCCAAACCTGCACCTTCCAAAGCACGTCATCATGTCCAAATTCCAGATACTTCCTTTCCACTTGGCTATAGCCTGACTGGTGTACATTGCGGCGTGAAAAATAATCCATCTGTCGTTGATCTAACAGTTATACTTTCGACCTCTTTAAAACCTACTTCCGCAGCGGCATGCTTCACTCGTAACGCATTCCTTGCTGCCCCGGTGCTCGTCAGCCAGGATGTACTTGAAAAAAGTGCTGGCCATGTCCGTGCAATCGTGACTAACAGTGGATGTGCCAACGCAGTGACCGGCAAACAAGGTCTGGAAGATGCTTGGGCCATGGTCAAGGCCACCGATGCCCTTCTCCCCAAACGAACCCAGTCAGAGTCTAACAAAGATAGCCACGATACAGTCGTAATGTCGACAGGTGTGATTGGCCAAAATCTTCCCATTTCCAAGATTCTCTCCGGCATTTCGTCTCTTGTACCTTCGAGTCTTGGCTCAGATTTCGCAGCTTGGGAGCGTGCGGCAAAAGCCTTCATGAGCACTGATACGTTCCCCAAACTCCGTGCTCGGACTTTCAGCCTGGGCGGACAGACATTCCGTATGGCTGGGATGGACAAGGGCGCTGGCATGATACATCCTAACATGGGTCCCCCCGCTAACCCCAGCCAACTTCATGCTACGTTACTGGGTTGTATCTTGACGGATGCTGCAGTTTCTCCGCAAGCCCTACAGTCTGCACTCACGTATGCAGTCGAGCGTTCCTTCAACTCTATCAGTGTGGATGGAGAAATGTCCACGAATGATACGATCGTTGTTCTCGCCAACGGAGCTGCTGCTGGAGAGACTAAGGAGATTGAGGAGCACGATCCTCTGTTCCCAGCCTTCCGTAAGGAACTTACGTCCTTCGCCGCTGAGCTAGCTCAGCTTGTGGTTCGTGATGGTGAAGGCGCAACCAAATTTGTTACGGTGTCTGTAGAGGTCGGTCGTCCTAAGGTTATCCATCTGTTCCATTAGCCTAATCTGTGCAGGGAGCACCGACATTTACCGATGCGCATCGTGTCGCATCGAAGATAAGCACATCAGCACTGGTGAAGACCGCATTGTATGGTGAGGATGCAAAGTACGTCAGTTCACCCATTGATCGTGAGTTGCCACTGATTTAGACAAAACTTACTTCAGTTGGGGCCGTATCCTTGCAGCAACTGGCTCTGTTCCTTTGTCCACACCCATCAACCCCTACCGCGTGAACGTCACCTTTGTTCCGGCAGACAGTACCACTCCACTTCCAGTTTTAGTGCGCGGCGAGCCCGAGCTAGTGGATGAGGTGCGCGCGAAGGAGATCTTAAGCCAAGAAGATTTTGAAATCAAGGTGGATCTCGGCCTGGGCAGTGAGAGCGCCCAATATTGGACCTGTGACTTCAGCTATGTAGGTTCTGTGTGTTTTCCCTCTAGACACAGGCGCTGATTCGTGATCGCAGGAGTATGTACGCATCAATGGTGATTATAGAAGTTGAAGGAGTCTGCTGTGTTTGTTCTGGTCGATATGTTTGATATCAATGTTTTCTCGTGGCTGTTGGGGTGTGGGATCTGCAAGCCGTCGATTTGATTTCGGATATACTGTCGACATTACTGTGGCCGTGCATTTGATTGTCGCTGCGCAATGAGAACAAGAACATCTCAGGCATGAAGATCACGCTGGACCCTTGCCAGTTCTCGATTCGTCCAATATGTTTTGGCGCATGCTGTGTCGCGTTCGGTAGAACTTCAACTCAGCAGGATATCTTCATGTTTTCCAACTTACTCGGTGGAGCTTTGATGACTACCTTCGTGGTGACATGCGCAAGAACTTCAGACAAGTACGACTTTGGGCGCGACATGAGCTTGTCTTCAAAAATCAAGGCGCCTTGTGTTTGTAAACACCTGTGAGCGTCTCAACTACACCCAATACAGCGAACCGTAATACACGATTTCCATCAATCCCTGATATCATCGATACCAACCCATAGATCCCAACGTGCTACAGATCAGTCATCAGCATCTTGATCAATCCCTCGAACACTATAGGCTGTCCAGGCCGCTCCGCATTTGCAGAAGCAGTATGAACAAAGGTTTCAGTCCTGCCGCACATGCCTCCTGAAAGAGGTAAAGTCGTGCATGACATGAGTTCCTTTTATTTCTTCCAGTTTTTGAAACATTGTTTTTTTGTGATGCTGATATATCAACTGCGCGCAGCTCGCATCTGTCTTCCGCATGGATACACAGATGATCGATCAAGAACCTCACCGAAGCGTACAGCTTATCCGGCGCGTTGACACGCGCATCCCGACGCCACTCCTATCTTTGTCGCTCCCATCACCAATGCCATCGCCCGCAGTCCTAGGCAAACTCGCTGATTTACGAGCTCCGAAGCCTATATCGAGCGTGACGAGCGGAAGTGGAGTATGGGCCAAACCCCAACCAAAGGTCGCAGAAGCAGGCGGGAGGTGGACAGCAGTTGTCACACGCCCTGGGTCTGGGTCTGGGAGTTCTTCACCTGCACCTGGTGCGTCCTCGAGCTCGGGAAGGCCTCAAGTTGGAACTGCTACGTTGAATTTGAAACCGAGTGGTGGAGCGTGGGTGTCGTCCTCTGTGCAACGCGCGAAAGAGGCAGCTAGTCTGGAGATGGGTGGAGAGGAAGAGGTGATACCGGATGATTGGGAGGATGATGTGTAGAGCCAGTTAGTTGAGAGCTTGGCTGACGGTGATTATGATGGGAGACATTTATAGATAGATTTAACTGTGATCAAGCGGACATGAGGCTTGGATAGCCGTCAATCGGAGGTATGTTTTGAGAACATACATAGGTTTGAGTAGGGAGATGAGGATTAAAGCCCTGTTGAACATGTTCAAAGAGTTAAGTTCCTCGACGCCGCGCATCACACATATCCAAAATTACGGGACAAAGAGCTCTAAGAAATCAAAGTGTTTGTAAGTAGAGTTCACTGGGCCTCAGTAGCAAATGGTGCCGTGGCTTGCGGTATATGCGCACGCTTGAACAAATTTGGTATAAATAGAAGTCAAAGAATAAGTGGGTGATCTCGGATATCATTGCAATCGAAGCAATATTTGAATCTCACGATAATGCCTTGTAAATACAACATAAATGATGGAATATTGGATTGCTCAACAAATGGGAACTAACTGAACTGCCATACCTTGCCGGCCGGGATGGTGAAAAGTCGTGACCATGTCAGAAGCGCTCATATGAATCTAGGTTAGGTGGCGAGTGCTAATGGTGTTTTCCGGGACAAAGTCATGAATAATCTTGTACTTCAAAACATAAAAAAGGGAGTATTAGATTGCTCGACACGCAGGACATAACTACACGATTATAACTTGCCGGCAACGATGGTGCAATATCGCAACAAGGTCGTAAACTCCCCATGGTAAACTAGATTTTCAGACATCCATGGCTATGTACCAATAACTCAAATTTCTCCCAGTATACATAGCCATCTTTAGCAGGAGCAGAATTGTGTCTTCCTACAGTTCCCACGGCTACCATATCAAGGACTCATCGGTTCTCTGATGTCAGTGAATTGATGGACATATTATAATACCATAATTGACTATATATAGTTAAAAATCACAACAATCTCCATAAAGGTGGTGGTGAGAGTTACATAGAGATGTTTGACCTTACATAGGAACAATGAATTTCCAAGCCAGCCAACCAAGTCCTCCCATGTCTAATGTACTGTCTTCTACTTCAATTGTCATGTGACGGAAAGCTGTAACTCGAGCCAATAAAGTGAAGCACAGGTCTATAAGTGTCAGGATACTGCACAAGTCGCCACTAACCATTGGCACGAAGTTCTTCCATCATGGGACAATTGAGTAAAAAAAATCACCCAGTACAAAAGCTGCAACTCTTGTTACTGATTACGTTCACGCGGAGTCCTGCATCTAGCTAACATCACCTTCATCATCAGTATATATGGTGAATGATGCACTTCCGATGCCGCTTTCAAGAGGGCAGTCAACATATAACACCAGATACTATTACTATTGTTAGGCCAGAGTTGCAAAATTCAATGAGGACCTCATTTTCATATCTCAATAACTACCACACATTAAGACAAAATAATTACATGGAATTATAGCTACGTGTGTCATAGGAAAGCTCTAATTGACAGAAGAACAAAATGTATTTAGAAGATGCTGCCAGATGCTGATGCAAGATGTTAGAAATAGTAGAGAGTTGCAAAATTTCCCATGAGCGGGTTGGCATAGATGTCACACTATGTCACAACATTGATTCTATGAATCTGAACCCTGACCTGGCAACTGGTATGCATGAGATGCGAGAGAGTAAAACATTGGCATTAGATGATTGCAGCGCAAGAGAGTCCGCAATCAGAATTGATTCTCCGCTCCAACCTGTCACGTTTGAGCATTCTTTGACACCAGTGATTGCATCGTCAATAACAACCACAACTCTGCTCTATTCTCATCGGAAAAATTCTCAGAAGGTAAGGGTAGGTATGAGGTGAGGTGTATGTGAAAAAAATGAATTTTTTTGGTTAGACACTTCGTCCTCCCCTGACTATTCTATGTGAAACAGGTGACTTCGAGTGATAGATTTGGAGCCGTACATGTTCCTCATAGGTATTTTTTTATAAAAAAAATACAATGCTATGAATCTGTGTTGGAAGATCCTAGATCCAAGAGTAGAGGACTTAAGATGTGTTGTTGCGTGAGCTATGAAGCGTTTTGCAACTCTATACAATTTTGCAACTCTGGCCCAACGATAGTACCAGTGATGTCCGATTTTCACAGTGAGGACGTGGGTTAATCTTACTAAGCTAGTGCTTATGGATTGTTGAATCGAACAAAATATTGCCATGCTGCTGAATCTTCCACTATAAATTACAAAAGTCACACGTCCCCCACCAAAACAGCATTCTGCAAGTTTCAATCCAACTGGTGCATTTTGCGGGTGCAGGAACAGCGGAAGGTATTAGTACATCAAAATACATGTCACTTAATATGACAGTTACCAGAGAAGATTCTTAGTTTGAATATATGTGATTCAGTGATCAGCATCGGAAGGTCATTCAAGATGTCGCACTGTCCTGCATGATATGGGAATCATGCAGAACACATACATGATACATGATCCCACATATCTATAGTCTGTTAGCTTTGTCCTCAGACTACACAAAAAAAATGTACTTTGAGTATAGACTCAAGTGCAACAGATAGCTTTGTGTGCTCCAATCACACAAAAAGTACAGTGTTTTGAAGAAAAGTCAAATATGATGGAGAAATCATATATTGACATAGTCCAAGTAATGGGTGTATAAAAGCTTGGGTCATTACCTAACATTTGGCTTATTTACTTTGACTACAAATAACCAAGGAGAAAAGTTAAAAGCCTACAAAAACCCTATCAAAAAGGCCCGTGTTTTGCTTTGTTTTCTTTTATGATTATTCCTACCTTATTTTCTCTATGTTTTTCTTATCTCTTTACCTATATGATTCACTGACATCTCAGATGCATCATAAAATGTACCTGCAAGGTATGATGTCATATGGCTCCACAGATAGTTCTGGCCTATTCTGTTGGTTTCTCTGATGTCACCCATGATGTCATAGTGATGTCATCGGATGCTAGAATGTTCTGCTCCGCCTAGCTCCACAAATGCTCCACAAATGCTCCACATTGTTCCACAATGAGGTCATTTATGATGCAATTCTGATGTCATTTCTCTTTTCAATCTTATTTCTTGGTACTGTACAGTTTCTCCCATCTCATGTATATCTCCACCCAAAAATATAAGAATTTATTTTTCTTTCAAATATCTGAGAGAAATCCCCCTCATATTCTTCCACTTTCCCTGATATTGACACTCTTTGTGTTAGCCAGAAAGTGCAGACCAAGTAACTAGACTTGCTCTGAGATCATTTTATCCTTTTCTTGACTGTACCTGTACTGCTTAGTGTGCATCTGACATACATTTCAGAGGACTAGGAGTATCAAGTCAAGCCATTTTATCTGTGCCTGCAGATTCCTTTGACTCCTGCATACATATCTTCAAGTCGTATAACTTGTAGTTGTACACATCCATTGTATTATTGTAGTTGTATAACACACGGTTGGTTATACACTATCATCCTATTATTTTGGATACATCCTTTGTGCTTTACTTCAGAGGAGTCCAAACCAGCATCTTTGATTTGTATCACACAGTCATACAAATCTCTCCATTTCCCATCAACAAGTCCTTACATATTTAGGCGGGGGAAATTCTAGCAATATCTGCTACATCCAGTTGCAACCAGTTGCACAACAGTGTGCACATCACATCACTTATCTGTCTAGTCAACAAAAAGACTAGAGAGACTTATTTGTGTCAACCAATTTTCCATCTAGCCATAGGAAAGGGTAGATATTTCTCTGCAAGGTCTATATTATCTGTCTTGTCAGATAAAGTTAGATTTCTCTTGTGGAACATCGACTGTTCTAGGTAGAATCACACCACTGGGCTGTATAGCAGGTA